AGTGCTGAAAAATCGTCTGTCAAGATATATCAATAGTAGCTTCTATGCTGCTAGACTGAGATTGATATTCTTCAACCACCGTCAGATTCGTCAGTGCGTGAAGGATAGGCTTCTACTTATGTCCACATCTAAGTGTATCTACAAGTTCACATGCTCCTGTGGAGCTGACTATATTGGATGTTGTTAGTGGGCCCTCCGTAAACGTGTTGCTGAACGTTGACTGGTTTGGTTTACCAGAGGCGAACAAAAGAAAATGACTCCATCCATATGTGAACATCTAGTTGAATTGAGATATTCAGCACCTCGAGATTCATCCTTTTGAAATAATTTACAAAGTTAAACTGAACTACTTCAAAGGTTTACGCTTCCACCACTTATGCATAGCTGAAGCATTAGCTATACATGAACAAAAACCGAAACTTTGCATTCAAAACGTTTTGTGAAACCACTTTCTCTACCTTGGCCTTAACAATTCCCATTTTATTGATTTTGTCAATTTCAGTTCAATTTGGTACACTTCTCTTCTATTATCATGATTATCACCAAATTTCACTTCATTTAGAACATTTGGTCCATATTTCACTTTTTAATATCAATTCATTCCTGATTCATTGACCTATTTTACAAGTTTCAGCTTAATTATAACCGTCTTACAATTCTTTGACAACACTTGTCTCTTATACCATCACTTCTTATCTAATTTCGTTCCTTATTCAATGACTCATTTTCTATCTCTTCCACTTGAATAAATACCACCACCCATCCACCGATTGTATATTTAGCATATTGACTGAGCAACTTTTTAGTGGAATTATCTGTTACTTCACCGAGTATAAATACGACTGTACAGCTTGATAATGATGAAATCGTTGAAAAGAAATATTTCTTCTTTCCCTGATACATGCCTTGTTGTTGTTAATGAACAAATGGGTATATTTCGTCAGTTTTTCTTATTGGTTGATAGATTCTTTCTACGTCTGTGCCTGTTGTAAGTCGCTAGTCTTGCATAAAATTTTCTTATTGGTCTGAACCTTTTTTTAACTTGTCATTTTCAAGATAATTCACTGATTCGGTTAATCCTTACCGTTACCATGTTATTGCCTCAGTTTGCGAACGAGGTCATATCTCATGTGTATACATACTTACTCGTATGTTTTTGAATTAATCAATTGATTATTATACTCGGAATAGTAAACCCTCCTATCCAGTTTCAGTCTTCTTCTCTATTCCTTCGGGGTTGCAGTCGGTGGCTGTTGTGTACGAAGTTAGCTGTCAGTTAAGCGTGCATATAGTATCCGTTCGGAATATATAATAATGTCATCCAGCTCAGAGAATGCAACACTACTGAGATCATCGATCTTAATTGGAATTAATCTCAGTCACATAAAACTTAAAAAAACAGGCAGTTTCTATCCCTACCATTCCTGCAATCTACACATGTATGTTGGGACATTAAATAGAAAGTAGACAGAACAATGTAAATATCTACATTTCGTTTTTAGGCTTTACTTTGACTATGTTTTCTATTCCTTGATATCCTATTTTCCAGAGAGATATCAACAACATAATCATACTTTCTAATTTTAGTCTGACTTGAACGTTTGGTGATAATCCACTTAGTAGTCAGAACACTATGCATTACATTGATTCTGTTTATCCACTAGTATTGATAAAAATGTACCAATGACTTTCAATTTTCCCATTCTCTTTACAGAAGTATATTTCAGTTATAATGGGATTATAAACACAGTCTAAGTTGCCTGTGTGGTGATTTAAATGACAAAAGGTCGATCCTTCTTTGTTAAGCATTTCTGAAGTATTAATTGGTGTATTCAACCGTTCGTAGTGTCCGTAAGTATCGTATGTGCTTTGCATCATTAAAGTCCAAAGTACTCTCGCAAGATTGAAAAGAGACCTATGCCTGCCCTCACCCTCTCTGGTAAGCCGTTGGAAGTAGTCGAACAGCCCATATGTCTAGGTAGTTGTATGAGTGCCGGTGAAGGTGTGAGTGGCGAAATTCCCAACCGCTTGTCTAGAATCAGAGTGGTATACGTCACCCTGAGTCACCTTTGGCGCCGTGGCCGCATTAGTCTGACCGTAAAGGTCGGGCTTACAAGGCTTCGGTGTGAGCAATTCTGCTTTACGACTGTGAAGCCTGACCTCTCCAAGCTGAGAAAACGCGACGACTGTATTTTAAATCATCGTTGTCTTCGCAGGATTGCTCGTATCCAATGGCAACATCGTGTAAGTAATTCTGAGGTACAACAGCTTATGTCTAAGCGTGATGTAGATCTTCATTCAATAAGTGAAGTCATCTGAAAACACCGAACTTGGTGACTTGGACGTGTGTTACCGACATCATTCCAACGGCTTATTGGACTATCCTTCTAATCATTCTATTCTTATTCGTTTTATTTTTATTCACTTCCTTTCGCTTTATATCTTCATAATATTGTTATATTTTTTCGTGTGGCCTTGCTATACCACGTTTGTATTCTGATTATAATCATAAACTTACTAAATATACTATTACTAAACAATTTGAGTAGACTCGACATACAATTAGTTTGGTGAGGATATACTAACCAATAAACTGCGTAGTTCTCATTTCAAATTTATCTATCTTTGAGAGTGACTTTATAGCCACCCTTACAACAACTGAAATAACCAATCAGGCTTCTCTATTTTATGAAAGTCTGGCTTTCTGGTTGAAGTGAAGAGACCTAATTGGTTATTTCAATCGTTGCTATGATCGCCTTTAAAATCACCCGTAAAATGAGTTGACGTTGAAGGCCACTATACCAGCTGTTGAAATGACCAATCAGATATCGGTATTCCGATCAGAAAGGGAGTTTTTCGTGAAACAAAGATAAGTTATTGGCTATCTCGGGAGTTGGTGGCACCTGCAACAGTCGAAATAACCAATTAGGTTTCTTTATTTCGGCTGGAAGGGCGAATTTTCGTAAAATTAAAAAGGTTGATTGGTTATTCGCAGTTGGTGCTTGGATGACTTTTGAAGTTACTCGTTAGGTTTCTCGAACCGACTTTAAAAAGCCACCCTAGCAACTGCTGAGATAACCAATTGAGGTTCTATGTTTTATGAAAGATTAACTTTCTAGCCGGGATACTGACACCTGATTGGTTGTTGCATTAGTTGCCAGGGTGACCCTTAAAAGTCATTCGTTTCTTGCGTGATGTTAAAACTAGCGTTAAAGGCCACCCTAGCAACTGATGAAACAATCAATCACGTTTCTCTATTCTATGACGAATGGTCTCTCCAGTCAACATACCGCAACCTGATTGGTTGTTTTGCCAGTTGTTAGGGTGAACTTTAAAGTCGTCCGCTAATCAGGTTTGGTACTTCTGCTAGAAAGGTAGTCTCTCATTAAATACAGAACTCCAATCCGTTGTTTCAGCAGTTGCTAGGTTGGCCTTTAAATCGGACCAAGAGACCTAACGAATGACTTCAAATGTCATCCTAGCAACAACTGAAATAACCAATAGGAGTTTTTAATTTTACGAAAATCTGTCTTTCCAGCCGAAATAAAAAAAACCTAATTGGTTATTTGAAAGTTGTTAGGGCGGGTTACTGGGTGGGCCCACTTTTAGTCGAGTAATCACATAGAGTCTATATGAGGTTGGGACATAACCTGGCCAACAATGAGCTGGAGGATTTGAAAAAGCTTGGGCACTGAGTTAGTGACTGCTTATAAGATGTCGTAGATAGATAATATAACAGCTGCATGTGGTTAATGTTATACAAGAAGTCACAACTGTGGATTGGAAGGAAATGTTTGCGAACCAGTGGGCTCCACATTACTGACGTAATACTTTCACAGTCGAACTGTGAGAACTGTGTATCTATCCAGCTTGTTATTTCCTCCTAATTTACCGACTACTCTTCTTGAACGCGTTATGAGTGAACATGAGCATCTTGGAAACTGACTGGATTACTTGTATACTTTGATCTTGCTTCGATTTAGTTATGATGGAGTGAAACGGTAGGACCAGTTAGATTTCTTTTCTCACTAGTGATTTGTATCGAGGCGGATTTCTCGAAGTTCTAATAAGAAATCGTGGTATGTGGGACTAACCAATTCGATATGCTCTCCAATGATATTGGATGGTAGTTACGCTAATTATTGTGACTTGACAGAAGTATAAAATAGTCGACATTTGGATTCGAACTCAGTGGCTGTATGATGACGTATCCTCCATGGGACCTAACGATTCCAGGCTTGACTCCTTGGAGATCGTTGGTGCACAATGCTGTAAAGTCAAAAACTAGGATGAAACAGCTCCTCAGCGCTCTGAGGTTTTTACTAATTTCTCAGTTGAGAACTTCTCTGTATTACAATAATATTTATAGTAATGGTGGCTAGCAGCGGAACCCATGACTGGCTTTTCGTGCTATTTGGACTCATCAACTGCATGAACCTGCTACCGAGATCGATCGCTTAGCAGATAACACTCTGGGGTTAGAAGCTATCAATCGCGGACTCGAGTTTTGGTGGCAACAGCATAGCTCTCAGAGAGGCAGGTATATCCAGCTGACGAGTCACAAACTGGACGAAACACGTGTCCCTGATTCCACTGCTCACCATCATCCATCCTCGATATAAGATTAAAACATAAGCAGTATTGAGACATCCACAACGGAGCCCATATGCCAATGGAGACGTGTCAGTTGGGTCCAATCAACGACTGGATGATACAAATAACAACATATAAATATTGAGTATGCTGAGTTCATATATTTAATCAGGAATCATAGTGAAAAAGCCTCCATTGTATAACCAGTGGAAACGAGTGTATTCGATAAATGAAATCTTTGCCTTCTGAGTTTCCAGTCCATCTTTGTTCAAGCTGATTATTATATTCTTTTCTAAAAATTCAAATCTACTACTATCTGCTCATTGTTACTACTGATTCTTTTGAATAATTTTTTAGACTGATTGAAAATTCAGTGTATTCTTGGGCTTCAAAAACTGTTCAGCATTATGGATGCATGTTCCACATCACAAGGTATGTATCCATATTTCTTCAAAATTTCTTTGTCAAGTTTCTCCTTTCTTTTTCATATAATTGACAAGTCTCTTTCAGGAATGATAAATACATTTATGTATAACTTGACCAATGGGAAGCTCAGTGGTGCTTTTGAAGTGAAGACAGGAGTGAAACAAGGTTGCCACCTACTATCACCCATGATATTCCTGATTGTAGTGGACTAGATCATGCAGCAAACAGTGAGGAGCGAGAAGAGGGGGATACGCTGGACTGCGGAAAAGAACCTAGAAGACTTGGATTTCGCCAGCGATGACTTGTGTCTAATGTCACACAAACTTGAAGATCTACAGGCGAAAACTAACAAGTTGACAGAAGAGGTGAGGCAGCGAAGACGGGACTTCAAGTGAATATAGAGAAGACAGAGGTGATGAAGATACCTAAACAACAACAACAGAAAGCTGCAATCACCATCAACGGGAGAAACTTAAAGGAAGTAGCCTCTTTCACCTATCTAAGCAGCACTGTTTCAACTACAGGTGGTGGCACAGACGAGGTCGTCAAAGCAGCCAGGATCGAAAAAGCAAGAGAGGCGTTTATTAACCTGAAACCAGTGTGGAGATCTTCTGCACTGCACCCAGTATAAAGCGTGAACGACATCCGGATTTTCAACACCAATTCAGTCAAGTCAGTGCTCCTGCATGGTTCAGAGACTTGGTGTGTTACGAAAGCCATTTCCAACAAACTACAGACATTCATCAACAACTGTCTACGCTGGCTCGATACTGAAGCTCAGATGGGCAGAATAATAAGAATAAGCAACAAGGAACTCTGACTGGCAACGAATAAACCAAGAAGCTGTCGCTGGACAAATATGCAGTTGAAGGAAGTGGAGATGGATTGGATTGGGCACACACTGAGAAGGCCGACTGGGGACATCACACGCCAGGCCAGTGCTCGAGTGGAAGCCGGATGGGAAGTGATGAGTTGGGCGTCCGAGGTGAGGGTGGCATGGTAGAGGAGATGGTATGAGGAAGAAATGTGGGTAGTCGTGGAGCCAGGTTCGAAAGATTTCAGAGAATAGAGAGCACTGTGGACGTGCTACAGAATCCCTATGTTCTATTGGGAACCCAAGGGACAAATAAATAACAATTAGTAATAACTTGACCAACCTTTGATCCAATATCTTTGATGGTTATCTAAGTCACTATAAAGTTGTAGGGTTAAAGGCACTTTAGAAGTATGACCAAATCGGTAATATTGTTAAGTGTTAAATGTATAACTATTTCCTACAGCTATATAGAGCAAATTATCACTTTGGAATTGGAGTTTTTGATATTTCCTGTTGCTATTTATCAGATAGTCAAACAGACAGACATAGAATCAAAGTAGAACATTGCACAGAAGTCTGCCGGTTCAAGTTACCACAGTTCACAGAAGTATACAAAGAACAGGTGGATAGAAAAAGACTGGTATCAAAGTAGGCGAGTTGTCTAAGACAACAAGAAGATAACGGTTAGTCTTTGGCGGTCTATATCTCTCCACATGGCTCAGATCAGTAGCCACGGACTTCATTGGCTGATGTCATGTCTTTCTCTAACCATCCTGATAGCTCGTTGTGTCCAGCAACATGTCCAAGCCATCTCAGTCATTAAACGTTCACAACCTCATCAATTGGCTTGCCTGTTTTGCCTAGTACCTTTCTCCTGATCATCGAACGCGAGCAATATTGCGAAGACCACTTATAATCAAAACCCTGTAACCACTTTATATCTACTTTTAGCGACCGTGTCTCACAGTTCTATAAACAAGACAGAATATACTTCAGCCTAGTCTATCTGTCCTTGAAGGGATAATTTGATATTTCGCCAGTTAGCGGTGCAGATCATTCAAGTTGGCAAGTATCAGGTGAACCTTCTGTATACGTGGTGAAATTTCTTCCGCAACTCGGTCGTTTAGGCTAATCCAACTTTACAAAGTAATAATATTGATAATGGTTTAGTTCTGAAAAAATATTACGGGGATATTGTACAAAATTTTCATATAGCATCAATTGAACAGAAATAGTGTATAGATTAAGTAGAAATTATACTTTAAAGTTAGGAATATCTGCTCCTTTACCATTTTTTAAACAGGGGCATAAGGCTAATGATATCGGGAAATGAATATTTATCAGTGTTAATGATGTTAGAAAATGTAGAATAAAGGTGAGGGAGCTTAAAATGTGAAATTTAGGCTAGGCAAATTTACAAAGAACATGTTGATTCTATTATGAATCCAGGTAGACAAAATGGATTCTTTTTCTCATATTGATATCAATGACTTCAGCTCTGGATAAGACGCATAGAGTTGGTTGTGGCTAGCAGAAGAATCCAGGACGTGCGTTTCGTCCTACTTGGGACTCGTCAGCTGGATGGACTTATACCCCAGTCAGTGATGTTGTTCCCATTGGAACTCGAACCTTGCACCCATCGCTTCAAACGCAAAGGCGTTTATCCACTATGCCATGTAGGGATGATAGTCACTTCTTGTACAATGGGTAGTAGTTATTACTACTTATTGTCATTCTCCGTTGTTTTTGTTGAATCGAATTCTTCAACCTCTATTGGTATATGGGCTCCTATGCGGATGCCTTGATACTGGCTGAATGTTAATTATGATAATTTGGTTGATTGTGGCTAACAGAAGAATCCGAGATGCGCGATTCTTCTTACTTGGCACTCACTTGTCAGTTGGATGTACCTTCACCCCAGTGATGTTTTTCCCACTGAGACTTGAACCAAATAGGACGAAACGCGCATCTGGGATTCTTCTGCTAGCCACAATCAACCAAATTATCATAATTAACATTCAGGCAATATCGAAGCATCCATATAGGAGCCCATATGCCAATAGAGATTGAACAATTCGATGCAATAAAAACAACGGAGAATTATAAGTATATCAATAGAAGATAGAGTAATAACTTATGGAATAGTTCTGAAAAGATATAGGATATTAGGTCAGTCAGTGATACGTGTTTTTTCTTGTTTAGATACTGTTTACCCCACAGGTGTATCCATTTCAATTCATGTTACTTAAATTTTGTTATCTCATGAATACCATTCAAAAAGCTCATAATTAGATTTCTTTTCATAGTGTGTAATGGCTCAGTATTGACAACAAAGTATCTCGGTTATTTCATTCTATGAAAGCTTTTAAGCCTTAATAGCCATTTCACTTCTTCTGTAGTAAACAGTGAATTCAACTTCAATCTTTCTTAATCTGAGGATGCATTACTCACAAGAGATTAGATTCTGTAAATGACTTGGACTTCATTACTACGGAGTACCGCAAACCTTTATCCGCCTCATTCAACAACTATATGAAGATGCCACATGCCAAGTAATTCACAATGGGAAGCTCAGTGATGCTTTTGAAGTGAAGACAGGAGTGAAACAAGGCTGCCTACTATCACCCATGATATTCCTGATTGTGGTCGACTGGATCATGCGGCAAACAGTGGGAAGCTATGAGAAAAGGGGGATACACTGGACTGCGGAAAAGAACCTAGAAGACTTGGATTTCGCCAGCGATGACTTGTGTCTAATGTCACACAAACTTGAAGATCTACAGGCGAAAACTAACAAGTTGACAGAAGAGGTGAGGCAGCGAAGACGGGACTTCAAGTGAATATAGAGAAGACAGAGGTGATGAAGATACCTAAACAACAACAACAGAAAGCTGCAATCACCATCAATGGGAGAAACTTAAAGGAAGTAGCCTCTTTCACCTATCTAAGCAGCACTGTTTCAACTACAGGTGGTGGCACAGACGAGGTCGTCAAAGCAGCCAGGATCGAAAAAGCAAGAGAGGCGTTTATTAACCTGAAACCAGTGTGGACATCTTCTGCACTCAGCATGCGGAGCAAGATACGGATCTTCAACACCAACAACAAGTCAGTGCTTCTGTATTGCTCAGAGACTTGGCGCGTCACGAAAGAAATTTCCAACAAACTACAGACATTCATCAACAACTGCTTACGCTGGCTCGCTACTGAAGATCAGATGGATTGCCAGAAAGAATAAGCAACAAGGAGCTCTGGGAACGAACCAACCAAGAACCTATCACCCAACAAATATGCAGGAGGAAGTGGAGATGGATTGGGCATGCACTGAGAAGGCCGACTGGGGACATCACGCGTCAGGCCGTAGAGTGGAATCCCCATAGGAAGCGACGAGTTGGACGTCCGAGGGTGACATGGAGGAGGTCGTGCGAGGAAGAAATGAGAGCTTCTGAGCTGTCGTGGAGCCAGGTTCAAAAGATCTCAGAGAAGAAAGTTCACTGGAGACGTGCTACTGAAGCCCTATATTCCACTAGGAACCCAAGGGACTAATAATAATAATAATAATAAATAGATGGCTTGGACATATACTACGCATACTAAGCCATCATCTACTACAACTTGCTAAACTACGTGAAGTTGGATTAGGTTGGAAGAAGTTTTATGGTGGTCAGACCAAGACATGGTACCAGTCGATAAAGTCTCCAATGTTGGACTGATTCGTTTGTCCTTTCTGATTAGGTTTATATTTTTCGAATCCACTTCTGGATTTAGCTTCAAAAATGCGAGTCTGACTTGTTGTATCTGTTGAATTACTTTCCTGGAGTAGCCTGCTTGTCGCCTAGCAGTGAAACACAGGACCCGCGTTTCATCCTTTCTGGGATTCATCAGCTGGATGTACCTTCCTCCAAAGAGTGATGCTTTTCTCACTAAAACTTTGACTTGGTACCCGTCGCTTCAAACTACAGAGCATTGTTCATTAGGCCACTGGAGCTCGAAAGTCACCACTTCTGCTGTTTATATACGCTTGAATTTTGAAGTGGTTGGTACTGGGTTCCAGTCCCAGTGGGAATAACACCACCAACTGATGAGTCGCAAACTGGACGAAACGCATATCCTGCGTTCCAGTGCTAGCCACCAAAAAGAGACTAAAGTGAAATGAACTGGCGCGGAATCATGCTGCTGTGCACAACAAGCAAAATATTAAGCCACATCATCCTGGAGAGACTGAAAAATGCTCTGGATTCAAAATTACCACCGGAACACGCTGGCTGCCCTCAGAAAAAACAAATCATGTCCAAGTCAAATTCCAAAGCTACACTTCGCATCATCATAGAACAGAGGATACAATGACAGTCAACTCTTCAACTCACCTCACCTCAACTTCATCAACTTTGAAAACGCCTTCAATCGAGGCGTCGACTGAGAATTAATTTGGTAGGCTTCTGTTTCAACACTACTGTTTTAGTACCATAAACCTTTATCAACCTCATTCAATAGCTGTATGATGATGATGCCGCACGGCAAGTAATATTCACAAAAGAAAGCCCACCTATATTTTTGAAGTGAAGACAGGAGTAAGACAAGGTTGCCGCCTACTATCATCACCCATGATCTTCCTGATTTTGGTTGACTGAACTGAACTGGATCATGCAACAAACTGTGAGGAGCTGTGAGATGGGCATACGCTGCTTGACAGATGAAAAGACTTCAAAAGAAGATTTGGATTTCGCCCATGATGATGATTTATGTCTAATGTCGCCCAAGCTTGAAGATATATAGACGAAAACTAACAGGTTGACAGAAGAGGCGAGGCGAGGCAGCGAGGACGGCACTTCCTTCAAGTGAATGTAGAGAAGACAGGTGATAAAGATATGCAACCAACCAACAGCAACAACAACGAGAAACACCGATCACCATGAACGGCAGAAATCTAAAGGGACTTGTCTTTTTCACCCACCTACGTTTCACCTCGAGGTAGTGACATAGATGGAGATGTCAAAGCCAGGATCGGAAAACCAGCAAGGCAAGCCTTTATTGATCTGAAATCAGTGTGGAGATCTAATCCACTACACTCCACTACACTCAGAATAAAGCGTAAACAAGGTGTGAATTTTCAACACCAACGTCAGTCAAGTCAGTGCTTCTATGTGATGGTTGAGAGACTTGGCGCGTTACGAAAAGCATTTCCTACAAACTACAGACTTTTATCAACAGCTGCCTACACTCGATACTGAAGATCGTGCAGATGAACAGAAAGAATAAGCAAGGAGTAACTCTGGCCTGGCAACGAACCAACTAACAACCCATAGCCCAACGAATATGCAAAAGAAAATGAAGATGGATCGAGTATACACTGAGGAGACCGGGGACATCAAGTACTGGGCCAGATCAGGCTGTCGAGTGGAAGCCAAGTTGGAAAAGAGGAGTTGGTCTTCCGAGACTGACATGGAGGAGATGGTGCGAGGCAGACATGAAAGTTTATGGGCAGTCGTGGAGCCAGGTTCGAAAGACTTCAGAGAAGAGAGTGAAATCGCTGTGTGCTACTGAACGCCTATGTTCCACCAGAAACCCGAAGGACAAATAATAATGGTGATAATAATAATAATAACAATGATAATAATAATAGACAGGCTTCTAAGCCTATCTGCCAACAGAGGTCGAGGAATTCGACCCAGCATAGCAACAGGTGATTACAAGTATCATTTCTTATTCGATGCTATGCTTACGGACCGAAGAAAATGCCGAACACTAGTTCAGCATGTTAGCATTGCGCTGAGTTGCTGCTACGTTTGTGTTGATGTTACGACTACTAACGTCAGAGCGGCTAACTCGAAGAGGGAGACAACGGTAGACCATTAGTCCATGCAATGATCGATGGTATCGTATTTGGTAGAATACGTATGGAAAATACTCAAAGCCTTAAAGGAGTTGGCAACCTAATCATAATGTCAACGAATGAGAACAAAAGATCAGCACATGAAGCATATTCCATCCATCTCAATCAATATAGGATCAGGCATTACTGTGTAACCGTCCCAGTTGCCACACCTCATATCAGTACATCAAGTAAAAAGGTAGTGAAGTGGAAGATGAAAAAAGGAAATTCAGTCAAAAGAAATATAAAGTACGGAAAGAGTGAAAGGAAGGACGAGAAAATGGTGAGGTTCGGTATGGCGCCGTTAAGATGAGGATAATGTGTGTATACATCTGCGCCACTAACATCGGTTGTGAGCCATATCACATAGTGTCTCCGAACACTGGTTTCTCTTGTCCCGCGGACCCCAAACACCTAGTCTGCATCGCCCCACATGGCTCAAAACCAACAGTCAAATACTTCATACATTGATGCCATGTTTTAGTCTGGTCACCTTGGGCTTTTTTCCAGTCTGAACCTACATCGGTCAGCATTGTGTGACTATGCAGACGGCGACTGGGCATACGTAACATATATCCCAATATGATGGATACTGGTGATTGATTAGTTGTTTCTCTCATTCTCTTTGTGTGTATGGATACTACAGGATCTCTACAGATCTGTTGATTTGTCAGACAGAGCACACTTATAGCAAACGATTACCATTCATTTACTTTTTCACGGCTTAATCGTGCCTTTATTATTATTATTATTTGTCCCTTGAGTTCCCAATGGAACATAGGGATTCTATAGCACGTCCACAGTGCTCTCTATTCTCTCAAATCTTTCGAACCTGGCTCCACAACTACCCACATTTCTTCCTCATACCATCTCCTCCTCCATGCCACCCTCACCTCGGACGCCCAACTCGTCACTTCCCATCCGGCTTCCACTCGAGCACTGGCCTGACGTGTGATGTCCCCAGTCGGCCTTCTCAGTGTGTGCCCAATCCAATCCATCTCCACTTCCTTCCACTGCATGTTTATCCATCGACAGCTTCTTGGTTTATTCGTTGCCAGTCAGAGTTCCTTGTTGCTTATTCTTATTATTCTGCCCATCTGATCTTCAGTAGCGAGCCAGCGTAGACAGTTGTTGATGAATGTCTGTAGTTTGTTGGAAATGGCTTTCGTAACACACCAAGTCTCTGAACCATGCAGGAGCACTGACTTGACTGAATTGGTGTTGAAAATCCGGATGTCGTTCACGCTGTATACTGGGTGCAGTGCAGAAGATCTCCACACTGGTTTCAGGTTAATGAACGCCTGTCTTGCTTTTTCGATCCTGACTGCTTTGACATCTTCGTCTGCGCCACCACCTGTAGTTGAAACAGTGCTGCTTAGATAGGTGAAGGAGGCTACTTCCTTTAAGTTTCTCCCGTTGATGGTGATTGTAGCTTTCTGTTGTTGTTGGTTGGGTATCTTCATCACCTCTGTCTTCTCTATATTCACTTGAAGTCCCGTCTTCGCTGCCTCACCTCTTCTGTCAACTTGTTAGTTTTCGCCTGTATATCTTCGAGTTTGTGCGACATGAGACACTAGTTATCAACGAAATTAATCGTGGCTTACTAAGTTTATTTTCATCTTTTTACATAATAGAAATACAACACAAGTTAAAAGGTCTTAAAAAGAATATTGATGATATAACCAGACAAATTGTGGAGTTGAACAATGAACGACAACAACTTCAACAAGAATATGATAAGGTAATTTTCTTATATAAATTGCTGATTATATACTACATATTGTTCCATTTCCTTCTGCTCTGTCTATACTTATATGATATATTGGCTGAAGATTAAAGATATTGAGAAAGTTTCTGATGTTCAGTTAAAAGAGGTGTTCTTGAAGCACTGCTGTTGTATGCGGGAACTAAACGGTGCTGCTGAAGTTACCCGTAGAATCCAAGACAAGGAAAGCAAATCGGTCGATGATGAATTTGTGAAAATCTGTAGACTAATGGGTGTCTTGTTAAGATAGCATCAATTTGAACAAAATTTTTCTTAACGTTAATATGATACTTAATATTCGTAAAGATGTTCAATCACGTAACACACAAACGGTTTCTTTCTGGGTGTAATATCCCTTAGCTATCCAGGGTCGAACTGCTTAACCTCTGTTGGCACATTTTCTTCTATGCGGATGCCTCGATAATGCCGGATATTCACTGGGGTGCAGGTAAATTCAGGTGATAAGTCCTTAATAGGGCTAAACGCCCATGCTGGACTCCTCTACTAGTCACCAAAATGATTGTAACATCATGAATATCTAACAGTATCGAGGCATCTGCATAGGAACCTATCTACCAACAGAGGTCCAGCCATTCAGCTCTGTATAGCGATGGGAAATAACGGGTAACTTTTAGAGGAATACCCATTCATAGGATAGAAATCAGATCATCTTGAAAGCTTTTGTGATATGACTGACATTCTTCGTTTTGTCTTGAAACAGTATTCATCAGCCGTTGAACTTTCCAAAGACAAGTACATATCCATAATAATATTTTGATCAGTGCGGTTACTTTTTGTAAGCTCATGATTAATGAAAATTTGATCAGTATACACTTTTACTAACTATATACTGCCGAATTATTTAGCATTTATTTATCCTTATAGTTTTGTATATGAACCAAGAATACGTTTTTACAGGCAACTAGTAATTAGATTGATTAGGCACGATATTAACACATCTGCCACGATGGATGATACTTATCCTATTCACACTATAGGCATACATATTTCTTAGATTTGTCAATAAGCGATGCGAAGTGTTCAGGAATGACAAATTTGTTGTAAAATAGAAAAAAACACTCAGATGAATGAAAACGGTGATTAAACAATGTAGAATTCAGCTTACCACACCTTAGGTTAACACAATAACATGAAAAATGAAGGAAGGTGTTTGGATATTTACATATATGACTATAAGATGAGTTAAGCGTAATAAAGTGTGAAAAATTAATCGTCTATACACCTATATTATCTTGGTGAATTCCACGTCATATTCATCATCATCATCACCATCCAATTCAATACAGGACCAGGCATTACTGCGTAACTGTTCAAGTTACCATACTTCATATCACCACATCAAGTAAAAAGGCAGTGATGTGGAAGATGAAGAAAAGAAAATTCTCTCAAAAGAAACATAAAGTACGAAAAGAGAAAAAGGAAGAATGAGAAAATCGTGAGATTCGGTATAGCGTCGTTAAGACGAGGATAATGTGTGTACACATCTGCGTCACTGACATCGGTTCTGAGTCATGTGATCGCTTAGAGTCAGTCTCAAACCACTAGCGTTTCTTGTTGTGCGGACCCCAACCGGTTATTCCGCACTACTGCAGATGGCTCAAACCAAAAGTTAAACCTTCATGCATTGATGCCATATCTTAGTCTGGCCACCTCGAACCTTCTTCTAGCCTGAACCTACTTTGGCCAACGTTGTGTGGCGAGGCAATCGGCGACTGGACACATGTCCAAACTAGCCATTTCAGTTGATGGAGGTTCACAACCGCTGTAACTGATTTACCTCTACTCCCTAAAATTGTACACCTGACTTCTGCGTTACTTACGTGGTGACACCACGGAATACGGCTCATACTACGAAGGCAACGGTGGTTAAACCCTTGGATCCTTCTCATGTCTTCCATCCTCAGTAACCATGTTCCACAGCCATACAGTAGAACAGAGCAGATTTCTGTGCAGTACACGCCACCCTTAATAGACATTTGGAGATTACTGCGGTGCCACAGGCAGTGTAGGTCGGCAAAAGCCAGCCGAGCCTTTTGTATCCGTGTGGAGATTTCATCGGCTACTGGGCCACCAGTGCTGATTCGGTTTTCCAGGTAAGTGAAGTGCTCAACACACTCAACCACTTCACTCTCTATTGTTAGCCATGGCACCTTTGAAGACCAATCCTGAAGCAACAATTTGCATTTGGGTGGCGAGAAACGCATCACAAACATTCTCAAATTCCCTCTCAAAGTGTTCAGAAGACTCTGCATCTTGTCAGCGTCTTCATCTAACAGGACTATGTCACCTGCATATTCTAGGTCTAACGAAAATTCCCTTGCGTTTGGGTCAACCTCTGTGTAATCATGTGATGAGAGGGAGACCTCCATAAGAATATCGATGATAAAATTGAATAAGAATGGAGAGGGTGAACAGCCTTGACGGACACCACTCGACGAGCACAGCTCCTCAGACATCTTACCGCAGGCTCTAATACGCCCACAAGTGTTCGAGTAGAGAGCCTTTTATAAGGTGGTGTACTTACTCGACACGTCTTCCCGTGAGAGACATTGCCACAGGACTTCTCGATCAAGGAGTTGAATGCCTCCTTCAGGTCGAGAAATACAGCTAGCGTCGGGCTTCGGTAAGTGTGCCTGTGTTTTAGAACCATATTACCAGGAAACTACTCAGCAAATCAACATATCTGAATAACAGCTAAGGGCCTGCTAAAATTCCGATTTCAGACAAATATATTTCATCCATTGAGAACAAACAGTTAGGTGATTTGAAGGTGGTTATTCATCATGCAATTATATCAGTCGGAGAGCCACTGAAAACCTTGGAGCGCTGAACAGCTGTTTTTTCCTATCATGGACGATATCGCTACATCGTGAACTGAGAGAAGTAGGAAATATAGACCATCCGAATATGACCCAACGGCTCATCAGTAACGTGGTGGCCGTGAATTCTGTATGTCCTGGGCTCGATCCCTGACGGTGTAGTGAGTGCGAACTTCTGTGGAGTTCGTTACTGAGACGAAATAAGCTTCTAATAGTTCTAGATTCATACTATTGCTCCAGCTGATGTCAGTGTATAATGAATAGCAGCCTGAAATCAATATGGCATAACTGGCATCATCTCCGTAGACAAGGTAGAGCTGTTTCAACACGTAACTGTGCATGGGTTGTTTTTTGTTTTTCGAATAGAACTTCGATCTATATGCTTCGCGCTAAGGGTGCATTGGTCCTCCAGACTGATGCAGGAAGAACAAATCAGATCACAGGGTATTAAATAGTTTCATGTACATAGACATACGGCAGCATAGACACAACGGTACTTACGTGATAGCCAATAGGATTATAGTATTTGTCAAAGTAACAGAATAGCAAAACCCAATGAGAATGCCGTTAGACATGACTTGATCAGACATCGACTCGTACATGCATCACGTGTCTGTCTAGACAGTGACAACCAATCACATCTTCCTCTTACTAGAATAAGTTTATCCCTCATGGGAGAGAAATTAATATAGAACTACTAATAATAGGGTATATTCACGAAATTCTGATCTCTTAGGATTCTGGTAACCTGAATAAGAGTTATGGTTTGTAATGGCTTCTTCTGGAGGCACAAGAACTATATTATTAACAGATGCAGAATTATTAAATTTATTTCTTTTTTTGAAATTTCGATGAACTAAGTAAAAATTATAGTCGGTAATATTTCCTTTCAGGAACCGAGGTATCGTGAATGTAAGCAATGGTCTGAATGCATGTAGGCACTTTTCATGGCAAGGAAAGACCACTCTTGCATGCATCCAATGTTTATCTGGATAATGGCAAATCATCACACTTCGCTTAAACAATCTATTTTCCAGTGACTCTAAAGGGAATCCTCACTACAACGGAAGTAACCAATCATAGTTTCGAAACTAGACGAATCTGATTGGTTGTTTCGGTCATTGCTATGGCGATGTTGAGAGTCATTCTATATTTTAAACATTCAGTGTAATATAGTTTATCTTTTATTCTCTTGTAATTCTTAGTTAAAATCACAGCTAGCAACAGTGCGTGTTCAAGAAATTTCAAGTTGTATGAATACTTCAGCTGGTTATGATTCACAAGCAACATTCCCTTGGACTTCAGAGATTCATCGAGTGAAAAAAGATATTTTCCATATTTCTGAATTTCGGCCTCTACAAATCACAGCTATTAATGCATTACTAGATGGTCGAGATATCATACTGGTGATGCCGACAGGTAGGCGGGATTACATACACTCATAAATAAGTATGAATATCAGTCTTTACGTTTCCAAGTCAAGTTTTGTAATATAACCTGTTTAAATAGAAGAGTATTGTGTTCCTTTGAATAATCGCGTTCACATGTTTCTTGTTATTCGTCGGCAAGATATATCTTTAGCCTGAAAAGAACCGATTTTCCTCATGTGAGTCGAACCCATGTCTCTACCGAGGTATTTAGGTTGGCGATTAACCTTTTACTAGGTCTGGATTAGTTACTTGAGAGTGGGAAATTACATATTAGTTAAAGAAACACTGGAAGCCTGTGAGCACTAGACAGCTGTTTCGTCCTGGTATGGGACTCCTAAGCAATGCGTACCCATGATTTAGCGACTTGCTCCGAAATGTGATTCCGGAAGTTCTAATGAAAAGTGGGCGTAAGGACGGTTATTCAATGACAACATTGAAGGGATGTCGCGCTATATTGTGAACAAGCAGAAATAGGACAGTGTGGACCATTGGATCCTTGGCAACGTCATGGGTGTGCACTTCTGAGGAGTCCTATGCTGGGAAAAAGCAACCCAAGTTTCCAATGTTTCTACTACTGATGTCAGTCTTTGATGAGTGATTATTATTATTTGTTCTTTGGGTTCCTATTGGAACATAGGGCTTCAGTAGCACGTCGCCATTTCACTCTCTTCTCTGCAATCTTTTGAACCCGGCTCCACGACTGCCCATAAACTTTGATTTCACCCTCACACCATCTCCTCCATGTCACCCTCCGACGCCCAACTCCTTATTTACCATTTGGGTTCCACTCGAGGGATTGGCCTGGCAAGTGATGTCCCCAAACGATCTTCTCAGTGTACGTCACATACAATCCATCTCCACTTTTTTCTGCATATTTGCTGGGTGATAGGTTGTTGGTTGGTTCGTTACCAGGCGGAAGTAAATTTCTTGTTGCCTACTGTTATTATTCTGGCTATCTGATCTTCAGTATCGGGTGGGCGTGGCGGGCGCTGTTGGTGTATGTCTGTAGTTTGTTGGAAATACTTTTCGTAACGAGCCAAATCTGTGAACCATCACATAGAAGCACTGATTTCAGAATAATGAGGGTCTGTCTTGCTGTCTTTTCGATTCTGGCATTGACATCCTGGTCTGTGCCGCCGCCTGTAGTTGAGACGATGCTGCCTAGGAAGGTAGGTAGGTGAAAGAGATAACTTCCTTTAAATTTCTTCCGTTGATGGTGATTGTTGCCTCTTGTTATTGGCTGGGTATCTTCATCATCTCCGTCTTCTCTACGTTCACTTGAACGAAGTCCTTTCTTCGCTGCCGTGCCTTGCCTCTTCTGCCAACTTGTTAGTTTTGCCTGTAGATCTTCGAGTTTGTGCGACATTAGGCATAAATCGTTGGCGAAATCCAAATCTCTTTTCATCGGTCCAACGGCGTATGCCCATCTTCTCGCCCCTCGCAGTTTGTTGCATGATCCAGTCCAGTCGAGTTGACCACAATCAGGAAGGTCATCAGTGATGATAGTAGGCAGCAACCTTGTGTCACTCCTGTCCTTGATGAATACGGACTTGAAGTCATTAAATGAATCCCCTAAAACACCTAAATTGCAAATTATCTTGTTTCACATCTTCGGGTCTGTTGCTCTAAACCCCTTCTAGCATCAGTCTGAAGTGGACAGTGATGATGAGTTTCGTTATTTTTTGATAATCGATCCACTGGCACTTAGGAATAGACAACAGGACACAGATTACTCTCTAGTGACCCTTAAAGATATCATTTGAATTTAGCTGTAAGCATTTATTGGACACTAGTTTGCGGGTCTGTAACTTAATGACGTTGTTACACGTCTTGGAAGCAGATGTTTGTGTAACTGAACTTTGATATAAATGGTAATATTACCGATACACGTTTCTCATGATGAAGTGAAAGTTCGTAGGTGTTCTCATCGTATGCTAGTAAGCACAGAAAGCATTTCATTTACTCACATGTTGTGTAATCAACCTCAACATTCCCAATTTATTGATTCATATATTTTACCTATTCTTCTCTATTGTCCCCTGTTTATCTTTCTTGATCTGCTGAGAAAAGACTATGTTATATTGTCTAGGCCTTTGAAAGCTGTTAGTAGGGTAGGTGATGTGTCACTGGCCCCCAAATGATTAACATTGTAGTTGACAAGCATTTAAATTCTTGCAAGTGATAAGCTGCAGTCACTCTTTCCTTGTATTTGCTCGGAATGGATAAAAAGAAATCACATAAGACTTAACTGTCGTGTGACTTAATAGTTGAATTCCCCATGAGGGATTTAATGTGATAAGAAATTGTTTTTGAATACATAAAGGTGGTTTAAATTTCCTAATAGCTAAGACCTCAATTAATTTAGGGATCCGTCCCCAACACGTTTTTGTAAATAGGTCTAAAGGAATTAGCCATGCCATACCAATCCTGTTAACTGTCTCAACGATATGTTACGTGGTCGAAGAACTTGGACGTCCGCCATCAACATTTATAGGGGGGTTCAGGTGATTCAGTTTCCTTCTGAAGCCACTTTGAAATATCCTCTAATGATATTACTTTTCATAGATCTATAATCAGTCAATCGTTTCAATATTCCAACCATTTACATGTAACTTTTCTCGTTACCAAAATATCATTTACATAATTCAAATTTCTGTAATTAAGACTATTCGAAATATTGTAAAGAAGCAATCTTACATACTGAGAGTTCCAAATCGTATCAAATATTATTTGCAATAAAGTGATTATTATTATTCCACTTACTTATAAGTAGTATAACCAGCTAACATAAGTAACGCCTGATACGCTTGTTCCCTTTCTCTCGTTTCGATTGGATCATCGACAAAAATCTTGTCCAACTTTCATCATTTATAGGACTTAAGCTTGGGGACTATGGTGGTTTGTATTTCCCTTTTAGTCTGTTTATCAGAATTGTCACAACAGTGAAGGAACAGTATTATCTACTGGATAACGTTTTTGACACAATTTGTTGTCCGTATTCATGTCACATAACTACACAACAAAGGACAGCTTGTATATTTCTAATCTACTTTCCTTCTCTGTGATAACGGTGATAGAATTTTCAACATATCTGGGGAAAGTGCAGAACCATTTCTGTTGCATGCATCCTGTGATGATTCGATTATCAGACTCTCCATCCTTCTACCCAAATAAGTCAGTTTTTTAATCGTGTCACTCTATCCCAATCTACTATATGATTTCGTGCAGAGCTTGATTTAGCTAAGCTTTTTTGCTCAGTTATCCTAATTGATCCTAGTCGACTACTTTGATCCATGTATATAACCTGGCGATCATTGCAAGAGTTTTATTAATATTTTTCCCCCTTGGTTTCCTATTGGAACATGGGGCTTTAATAGCACGTCTCCACTTCACTCGCTTCTCTGCAGTCTTTCTAAACTGGTGCTACGACTACCCTCAAGCTTTCATTTCTTCCTCACATGATCTCCTACATGTCACCCTCAGCTGGGACGCCTAACTCGTCGTCTCCTTTTTGGGTTTCGCTCGAGGAACTGGCCTGGCACATGATGTCAACCATTGGCCTTCTCTGTGTATGCCTAATCCAGTCCATTTACACTTCCTTCTGCATATTTGTTGAGTGATAGGTTCTTGGTTGGTTCGTTGCAAACCAGAGTTCCTCCTTGCTTAATCTTTCTGTCCATCTCATCTGATCTTCAGTATTGAGCGAGCATAGGCAGCTGTTGATGAATGTCTGCAGTTTGTTGGAAATGCTTTTCGTAACGTGCCGAGTTTCTGAACCATATAGAAGCACTGACTTGACTGACTATTAGTGCTGAAAATCTTGATCTTGTTCTTTGTGTTGAGTGCAGTAGATCTCCACACTGATTTCAGATTAATGAAGGCCTGTCCTGTCTTTCCGATCCTGGTTTTGACATTCTCGTCTGTGCCTGTGCCGCCTGTAGTTGAAACGATGCTGCCTTGCCTAGGTAGGTGGGTGAAAGAGACTACTTCTTTTAGGTTTCTCCTGGTGATGGTGATTGGTGCTTGTCGATGATGCTGTTGTTGTTTGGGTATCTTCATCACCTCCGTCTTTTCTAAATTCACTTGGAGTCCTGTCTTCGCTGCTTCTTCTGTCAATTTGTTAGTTTTCTCCTGTAGATCTTCGAGTTTGTGCAACATTAGACATAAAATATCATCATCGGTGAAATGCAAATCGTCTAGGGTGTTTTCATCGTTGCAGCCAGTGTACGCCCATCTCACATCTCACTGTTTGCTGCATGATCCAGTTTAGTCGCCCACAAATAGGAAGATCATGGGTGATAGTATGCAGCCTTGTCTTACTCCTGTCTTCATTTCAAAGGCGTTACTGAGCTTTCCATTGTCAGTCACTTCGCATATGGCGTCGCCATATAGCTGTTGAATGAGGTATATAAAGGTTTGTGGCACACCGTAGTGTTGAAGCACCTGCCAAATTACTTCTCGGTCGATGCTGTCGAAGGCTTTTTCAAAGTCAATGAAGTTGAGGTGAGATAAAGAGTTGACTGCCATTCTATGCTCTGTTCTATGATAATGCGTAGCGTCGCAATTTGGTCCGCACATGATTTGTGCTTCCTGAAGCCAGCCTGTTCTGGTCGTAGTTTTGAATCCAGGGCGTCGTTTAGTCTCTCCAGGATGATGCGGCATAGTGTTTTGCTTGTTGTGGACAGGAGCATGATTCCGCGCCAGTTCTTACAAAGACTTCGGGAGTTTGAAAAAATAGCCCTTCTTCCGATCGCATGGTACCTTTCCTTCCTTCCAGACATTGTGTCGTAGGAGTGTCTTTTGTCTTTGCGCGCACTCTTCTTCACTTCTTTGTCTAGTTTTTTATACGTTGTACTCAGTTCGTCCTTTCGTAGTGCATCCTTGCACTGGTTCATCTTCTGTTTCACCATCTTCCTCTCGTCTATCAGCTTTAATATGTTTTTGGAGATCCATTCCTTGTCTTTTTTCCTCTTCCTTACTAGTACGATTATGCAGGTTTCTGTCCACATCTCTTTCAAAGAGTTCTAGTGTTTTTCCATGAAGGTTTCTTCAGAGATATTGCCTAATGTCTCCCATTTTGTCCTGATGACAAACGTTTAGATGTCCCTAGTTGACCGTCCTTCGGTTTTTTTTCTGGGTGTTGAACTTGAATTGTAGTCTATCTCCAACTCCTTTGAAGGCTTTGAACTTGATTTGGAAGGTTCCTTGCACTGGATAGTGATTGGTGTGAACCTATATCTGCTCCTCTTCTCGATCTTGTGTCCAGTAGGCTGTCTCCTTCTCCACTTTCTTCAGATTGAGTTGAAGTCGATGTGATATTTAGTGTGTCCTGGTGTCTGGTGAAATCGAATCGATGTCGCTTTGTGAATATCCTCGTGTTTGTACACACTACCTCCAATCATCAGGTCGTTGAATGTGCAGAAATCTGCAAACAGTTCCTCATTCTCGTTCATTTCACCGAGTGCCTGTCGACCCATGATGAGTTCTCTTCCTGTATTGTCCGCTCCGATTTGGCATTCATGTCACCCATTAGAATTTTGATGTCGCCAACTGGAGTGGGGTGTTGTCCATCACTGATTGCAGTTGTGTATAGAATTCCTCCTTCTTCTCTTCATCTGCATTATTTTGTAGGTGTGTAGCGTAGCATTGAATGATTGTGACTTTCCTCCTTTTTGAGTCGAATCTTACTGTCATGGTCCTGCAGGAGGAGATTGGTTCCCACTGCATGAGAGCCTTCAATGCTCTTGGGAGAGGGGCATCATAATAGCCACTCGAAATCTCAGTTTGCTCGTGGTTGTTATCTGGGTGACAATGTTGGACTCTCCAGTTGACAGTTGATGTTGGCGGTAGCTGTGTATATGCAGTACATATCGAAGTCTAAAGACGATGTAAGTGGGCAAACACCAGATGGAACTTGTATGCGAACTTTGATGTCTACACAACGAACGCCTTTGAGCTGGTTCAACTCCCCAAACGGGTTGGGAAGTCAACTCATTCTACCACTTCACTGCCTATCATTAACCTGGGGGGTTTGTGCAGACACGTCTCGAAATATCATCTTACAGGCAGATGAGTTTAACCGAAAATCGACTAACTAGTATACGGGCGCGTTTCGTTGGATTAGGTACTTACCGTTAGCCAGTAGTTTATGAGTTCGAAATGGTGGGGAATATTTGTAGCTCAGTTGGATGGTCTTGGTTATATTGTGTTCTCTAAGCTGGGTTGTTTAATCGTGGAGCTTTCATCGTCCTTCTTCTAGGCAGAGACATCATCAGCACTAACTTCAGTATGAAGTCAGTTGTCAATATCTCTCCGTGAGTAATTTAGTAGTTTGCCTTGACGAAGTGGTCTGTGATTGGTTGTTTCCTTCGATTGTTGTGTTATTGACTTTATAGATTTTCTAGTTGGCTGGCTGTTCCTCTGCTTGACCTCTGACTTTCTGTCGTTTGTCATTTCTCTCATTGGTTGATAGATTGGGTCTATGTCTATACACTTATTGATTGCTAACTGACAGACATGAATGCCAAACTTCCAAGAATTCTCTGATATTCTTTGTTTCTTCTTTCCATCCAATAGTGTTTACAGTGAATTTGTTCTTTTATGAGCTACACTAATTCCAAGTGTTCTCAGTATTCTTGTCGTGATTTCTGATATATCCTTTATGTATGGAAGGATGATACGTTTGTTGATTTCTGTGGATAACTTTGTAGTTGATGATGAACAGGATAGGCATCTTCTGATGAAGTTTGGTGGGTAGCCGTTCTTCTTTAGGATGGACATCAAGTAATTTTTTCTTCGTTTCTCCGTGACGTTGTTGTGCTGCAGTGTGTTCTTGCTTTTTTTTGAATAGGGTCTGCATGCAACTGATTTTGTGTGTTGTTGGGTTGTTGCTACATTAGTTGAGGATTTGATCAGTGTGTGTTGGATTCCTGTACACTTGGTTTTACAGCTTTCGGCATTTCTCCTACTGACTAAAACATTTAGGAATGGTAGTTGGTTGTTTGACTCTTTCTCCATTGTGAATTCGATGTTATTGAAAACGTTCTTGATCAAACTGTAGGTGTTTTCTTTTCTTCATCTTTTTTAATGATGACAAAAGTGTCGTCCACACAGTGGATCCAAATTTTTGGTTTGATCATAGGTAGAATAATGGCTTCCAGTCTCTGCATGACTGCTTCTGCAATTAATCCGGATATCGGTGATCCCATTGGAGTTCCTTACATTTATTTATATATATTTCCATTAAATTGGAAGTATATTGTCATACAAAGGTCAATGAGTTCCATTAGACTTGAACATTTAAGTTTTGTGCTTTCTGAAAGGCTAGTGCCTTCAGTGAGCAGAAGGGATATAGTTTCCTTGGAGAATTTTGCTTCGATTGATGTGTATAATCCTATGACATGGAAGGGTACCATTAATTCATCGTTTTCTATATTAATGCTTTTGATCTTTTCTAAGAATTCTGTTGGTGATTTGATAGAATGTTCGCATGATTGTCGTCTAGAAAGACGATGAAAACTTCACGATTAAATAGCCCAGCTCAGATAACACAATACAACCAAGTCTTTGGGTTCGAAACTCAAACTATGTGACCTCTAACCAAGGAATACATGAAAGTGTATGATTGTTTAACTGCATTTAGCAATTTTACATGTTACCGGTTAGTTTAATTTGCTCACTACATTTGAATGAAATTGTAGTTGCCTACCATGTGCAATCCTATATAGGTGTTGTGTGTTAATTGTCTCTGTGAAAATCACTCCAACAACAACAAGCACCAATCACCATCAAAGGGAGAAATCTAAAGAAAGTTGTCTCTTTCACCTACCTACCTAGGCAGCATCGTCTCAACTACAGGTGGCGGGACAGATCAGGATGTCGAAGACAGCATTGGAAAGACAGCAAGACAGGCCTTCATTAGTCTGAAATCAGTGTGGAGATCTACTCTACTTCACTGCACAGCACTGCACTCAGCATAAACCGTGAACAAGATCCGGATTTCCAACACTCATGTCAGTCAGGTCAGTGCTTCTGTGTGATGATTGAGAGACTTGGCGCGTCACGGAAAGCATTTCCAACAAACTGCAGACATTCATCAACAGCTGCCTACGTTCACTCAATACTGAAGATCAGATGAGATGGACAGAAAGATTAAGCAAGGAGGAACTCTGGTTTGCAACGAACCAACCAAGAATCCATCGCCCAACAAATATGCAGAAGGAAGTGGAAGTGGATTGGACATACACTAAGAAAGCGGTTTGGGAAGATCACACGCCATACCAGGTTGCTGAGTGGAAGCCAAATGGGAGACGACGAGTTGAGCGTTCGCGGATGGCTTGGAGGAGATCATGTGAAGAAGAAATGAAAGCTCATGGGCAGTCATAGAGCCAGGTTGAAAAGACTGCAGAGAAAAGAGTGGACTGGAGATGTGCTTCTGAAACCGTATGTTCCACTAGGAACCCAAGGGACAAATAATGATAATAATAATAATAATAATAATAATAATAATAATAATAATAATAATAATGAAAAGCACCATTACTTGTGGATTTCTGTTGTTGTTCTTTTCGCTCATAATATTTAGGTGCTGGAAAGAGTTTAGTATATCAATTACCCGCTCTGATTAACGTGAATGCCTTCAAAGTAAATGGACGACAATTAGGCTCAGTCACTTTAGTGATTAGTCCATTGGTTTCCTTGATGGTTGATCAGTCGATAAACTTGACAAAATATGGTCTCGAACCTGATACAATTGCAGTTTTAGATGGGAATACACCATTACCAGAACAACGTCGAATTCTTTCTCTTCTTGCAGAAAAACCGGTTAGTTATTTCATCTTTTATTACCATCACTTTCGGTATTACAATAACTAGTAGTGGATATTACTAAATTTGTTTAAATATTCAATATTTGCAAGGTTGTTTATCTATCTCGTAAAGCATTCACTTCGATCAGTGTTCAAGCTCTTCATTTTTATTCAGTTTTTTCGCGTGCACATGCAAGCACAACTGGGGATCGGTCTTTTCGCAGGAAATTCTTGTCAGGTGAAGATACATGTTCTGAACATACAGATTAATGCTATTTGGAGGTCTATGGAGGTTTACTAATTGATTTTAGGTTGAAATCCATCATAAACATATATCAATTGGGGGAACATTGAAAACCTGTCAGAGCTGGACAGCTGTTTCGTCGTAGTTTGGGACGTCTTAGCAGTGCGCACCTCTGACCGCACCTGGGATTGAACTCTGCATGTTACCATCAAATCAGTGGGTGGGAATCCAGTGGTCCGCATTTTCTACTTCTATGACTTCACGACGTAGCACTACCTACATCCATTGTCGTTGTTGAGTAACTGTCCTCATATTCGACTTGGTTGACTCCACTGGTCACGACTTTCATTGGAATTTTGAGAATCACCTCTAGAAGCTAATCACCAGTGAACGCTAGATTAATTCTATCTGGAGGTTTGTGGAGGTTCTATAATTGATTTTAAGTTGGAATTCGTCATGGACTGACAACGGTGGTTCAATCGTAACCTGCTGACCGCGGGACCTGGAGGTCCTGTGTTAGATCTCTTGCGGGGTCGTGGATGGGCACTGCTGAAGAGTCCCATACTAAGACGAAACAGCTGCTCAGTGCTCTCAAGTTCCCAATGTTCCTGCAACTGATGTCAGACCATGATGAATTGCAACCTAAAATATAGACTAGTGATTTGGATGCCTTTCTCAACTACCAGATTCAAATTGTTCTCCACGACTGATGTGCATCGATGTGTCAGTTAGTCATCCAGTCAGTCATTAATAACACAGGACCTAGTAATATTACTGCATAGCAGTCAAAATTGATGCATATCACATCAGTAGATCAAAAAAGAAGGTAACAAATTGGAAGATTGTGAAATGGTAATAATGCAACCAAGAACAGTAGAGTTATAAGCCAAAAAGAAGTTAAATCAGATGGCGAAATTTTATATAACGATTCTTATTAAGATAAGGTATGGGTGTATTCTCATTGTTACAATACACTTCAGTTCTTACCATACAGAATATACAGCCATTCATCTTGGTAGTGTCGCAGACCCAGGTCTGCACGTAGCTGAGACTACCAATCAGAAAACTCCATGGATATATACCATATCTTGTTCTAATCATTTCCAAATTTTTCCAATTTTTAAATGAAGTTTTCGTAGGACTTTCAAGTTTCTTAGTACTATGATGTACACTAAGGTTCGGTCAGATCCTTTTAAGAAGCCCGAAATTCCTGAAGCCTTCCATAACCAATCATTTCTCTTTAAAGTTCCAAGAAAAAGACACGTGGTCATTCGTGTAAATATCAGTTTAGGTTGAGTAGGCGAAATCAATGAGAAGTGTCATTCCAGAAAAGTCTAGAGGTAACCAAAGACTATTCTAAGCTAATAAAAACCGTTTGTGAATTTCTTTTTAAGAAATTTTGAACTCGAGCTATTCTCGAACAATTAACGAAACGCTCGAGTTACACGTAAAATTCAAAACATGGAATTTGTCTGAAAAATACAGTAGTGGACGATAAATGATAAACTTCTAATTGTGAGTTGTCTGTGGGTTTATCATTATCAAAGCACCTTCCAGAGAGTGCGTCAACAGTACATACAACAAAGCCCTGTATCCAATGCAAACCAGAAGTGAAATGTAAAGGACACGCGTATTTTCAACCATTAGGTTCAGGGTGAGATAGAACATCAGGGATCAACAAAGAGAATCCCAATAGCTCTATGAAATGGGAAGGGTACTAATATCTAGAAATGTTAAATGAACAGTGTGTGATAGCATAAAATGTACAGGCCAGCTGTGAATAAGAATTGTACTACCTAATAATACTAAGTAGTATAAAACTGGATGCGTAAAAAGAGATGCAAAGGTCGCGTCGCACAGGGTAGACGAGAACTAGAGTGAAAAAGGAATTAACAACGTTATATTTTGTACATAGTTTAACGTGTCAATGCACCTTCAGTCATCGTACCATCTTTTCTGTTTACCGAGGAACTGAGTGACAATCAAGAGTGGAAACTGAAGGCTATTGTTCATGTGTCCACTCACACTAATCGCTTCAGTTCTCTGTGAAATTGTGTCAACGGTGATGGATTTGTGATCAGTGTACTGTTATCAAGCGAAACAAAAATTTGACTAACTATGTTCAGATTACCATATTTGTGGTGTGGGCAAGATATCAATATATCTACAGAAGATCTAATAGACCGCACATCGGTTCCCTGTATCTTACCATCTGCTTATGAAATATAAGTATTGAAAATGGAGAATTTACAAAGCTTTTGTACATTTCATCTATGGTCTCAATTGTATGTCTTGTATGCAAATGTTGTCTATGAAGTCCTCCGTAAAAAAGGTAATCGACTCGATGAAGTTAGCAATCGTTATCTGATAGGGGGACTGGAAAATGTCTTACTCCTGTCTACTCACTGTCTGCCTTGATGTGAAAAGTCAGCCGAAGTATAAGTCATGTAGGAAACAAATTCATGGATGGCCTCTTCAAGAGATAGTATCAATCTTTGGTGAAGTCTCTTACAGTCAGTCTAGTGTTAATTGGTCCTGGGAGTGCAACCAGTTTCATGTTGTCTAGTCTTGAGTGTAGACCGAATTCCATCGATCATGAAATTGGTTGCTCTCCCGTTACCAATCAAGGTATTTAACCCAGTCTTAGGGAGATGAATCGCGGCCCGAATTGTGCAGTGGTGTATTGTAGCTGACTACAGTGGTTGGGTGGCATGGAACATTAGTTACGTGGAGGTTGCAGGTGCGCCTTACTAGTGAGTGCCAACAAGCGCGAAACCCTAGGTCCAGGGCTTCCTGCTGACTTGCTCTAACCAGCTAACACCGAATTTCGAAAGGTATATTCTACGTGAATCTCAACAAACACGAAATGAGTGTCTAAACCCCCCTCTCTCTGCTAAATGTGTGTGATCACCCAGCTACAAAGGGGGTACATTATGATATCATCAGGTTATGCCGCATTACTCAACATGAACTAATCGATATACGGAATAATATTCTGTGGATTAAGAAATCACAAATTATAAACTGCGGAAAATCTTCAATCTCAGCTACTATTTTCTGTGATGAAGTTTTCGTTCAACTGAAGTTAATTTATCACCTTCACTCTAGAAATTGCGAAAGAAACGTCTGTTTAAAAGTTGACAAATATCAGACCCACTATCTGGTCAAATTCAAATAAATTGGGTAAATAAGTAGACATTCATTATGGACTGACATCAGTTGGAGGAATATCGGAAACCTGGGAGCACTAGACAACTATTTCATCCTAGTATGGGACTCTTCATCAGCAGTGCACACCCACTACCCAGCCAGGGCTGGAACCCCGCGACCTTCAGTTTCCGTGGTCAGCAGATTAGCATTGGACTTTTGGGTCAGAATCAAATGGTCCATATTTCCAACTTCTATCAATTCACGATATAGCGCGATCGCCACCCAGTTTCATCGTTGAGTATTTGTCCTCACAGCCACCATGTTTGCGCCACTGGTCACGACTTCTCATGGGAACTTCGGGAATCACTTCACGAAGATAGTAGTAGTCACTAGTGATGACTAGTTTAATTGAATTTGGGGATTTGTTGGGATTTAGGCATTTTTTTCCTTTTCCTCATTCTCCACAAACCCCCAAATTCAAATAAGTAGACGGCTTAAAATTCTGGCAGGCAGTTTTTTTGACATTTTGCGACCATGGAAGGTTTGGACTGTATAAGTTATCATATCGGTAAATAGAGAGATAAATCATATCATACCGTCCATATATGCATGTAAAACATCCTAGAAAATTTTCCGCCAATGAGGATAGCTCGTTATCTCATTGTAATATACAATCCCGATTACTATTTCTCTATAGAGAATCTGATACACCCAGCTACTAGGTGTCACATAGAAAGAAACACACCTGTTGAATCTCCTTACTTGACACCATACAAATGTTATTTATGATGTTCTTTTCATCTGACTATCTAAGATAGCCGTAGCTTGGCAGACTAGTATTTCCACGGAATGATGATTGAAGGTGCATCCGAGAGTTGGACCGCGACCGGACTCGAACCAGCGACTACCGGGTTTCTAACCCGGTACTCTACCAACTGAGTTACGACGTCCGAATGCTAACCACGTTTTTATTCCACTTCAATCACCAACGGTTTTATCTGACTACCATGTGAATTTGTGATACGTTTGATCCTACTTAAACTGTCTGCCTAGTCAGGACTTCTCATCCGAATCGAAATCTAACAGAATTAGAGGAAGGGAATATCATATTGATTATCATTTTGGCTGTCTAAAATAGTTGCAGTTTGGTAGACTAGTGTTTATACTGTAATTACTCTCGAATTCAGATTTCGATTCGGATAAGAAGTCCTGACTTGACTAGGCAGCCAATGTGAATACGATCAAGCGGTAGTAACGCGTTGAAAACTTACATGGTAGTCAGGATTGAAGTGAAATAAAAATCTAGTTAACAGTCAGACCTCATGGATTAACATTGGGCTAGGAACCTAGTGGTCGCTGGTTTGAATCCCATCGCGATTCAAATTTTCGTTCCACCATCAATCATCATCTAGAATAAACATTTAAATTTGACCATACTTTCATTGAATAGATTATTTACCTTCATGGTGTTCATGTTTCTTTTCTACCTTTAATTTAGAATCACAAAAAGGATATAACATCTACTTCTAAATTACGCTTATTGTATGTGACTCCAGAGAAGCTGGCCAAGAGTAAATTACTATTGAATCGTTTAGAGATTGCCTATTCAACTAATCAATTAGCATATATTGCTATTGATGAAGTACACTGTGCTAGTCAATGGGGTCATGATTTTAGACCTGATTATAAATTTCTACATATACTACGACGTCAATTTCCAAATGTACCAATAATTGGATTAACTGCTACAGCATCGGCTGAAGTTATTGTAGATGTACAGAATATACTAGGTATTAGTATAGATAAGTGTATAGTATTAAGAACCAGTTATAATCGAGAGAATTTAAACTATTATGTAAGTAGTATTGTTTATATTTTGTGAATAATTTAATTTATTTTCGAGATGAATGGGGATTTTTTATTTTAAAAGTAGTATTCATCATGAACTGACATCAGTTGGGGAACCATTGAATATCTGGGAGGACTGGACAGCTGTTTCGTCCTCGTATGGGACTCCTCAGCACTACGCACCCATGACCCATGCATACCGCTGAGGAGTCCCATACGAGGACGAAACAGCTGTCCACTGCTCCCAGATTTTCAGTGGTTTAGTCCATGATGAATACTACTGAAATAATTCAATTATTTTTAACTTCTTATTGAGATCTGTTTTAAATTAACAAAATTCCTATGAAACCTTGAACAATATCAAGTGTAGTTGCATCTACGACAATATTTTTTAAGGATAGACAGATCAATGAATTAACTTGGAACCTGGTACTTTGCTCCAAGTTGCCACGCTTCACATCAATATGTACGGAATGAAATAGTCTGAATAAAAAGTAATAATAAAGTGTTTCGAAGTCTGTGAGAGTTAAAACAGCCAACAAATGAAGGTTATTCCAGATAATTAAGACTCTAAAGATAATAAAGATTGTGTTCTATCTACACCACTGTGATCTTCTTTGAACCATATCGCAAGTATATTCAACCAACGATTCCTACTTTTCTCGAAGCTGGAGATTATACATTTTTCTACAAAGGAGAAACCAACAGTCAAGGGTTTCATGGCTTGGTGACACCCTTAGCCTTCTTCTAACATGATTGGGCTTTGACTAGCATTGTACATCGAGTTAGGCTGTACCGCGTTATATGCAACACATATCCAAGGCATTTCAATCAAGGAAGGTTCATAACCTCATCAATCGACTTGTCTGTGTTGCCTGATACCCTTTCGTCTGACCAAGACATTACTCACACTGTGATTCCACAAATATTATGAAGACATTTGTGATCAAAACCCCATAATTCCTTCTTATTTTCTACATTTCACAGTCATATCTCACAATTGTATAACAAGATAGACAGGACTACTTTGCAGTGTACTCGTTCTTTGATGAACAGTTGGATATCTCGTCAGTTGGCAGCAAGGATAGCGTGTGTTGGCAAATCCTAAACTAGCCATATGTATCTCGGCTAAGATTTTGTCAGCAACTAAACCGAAAACTTCTGTAGTGTGAAAATTGTTAGTATTTGTCCCTCGGGTTCCTAGTAGAACATAGGGCTTCAGTAGCACATCACAATTTCACTCTCTTCTGTTCAGTCTTTCCAATTTGGCTCCACCACTCCTCATAAGCTTCCGTTTCTTCCTCACACGATCTCCTCCATGTCACCCTCGGCTCAGACGCCCAACTCATCGTTTCCCCTTTGGGTTCCACTCGACGGCCTGACGTGGCCTGGTGCCTGATGTCCGCCCCCCCCAAACCATCTCAGTGTATGTCCAATCCAGCCCATCTCAACGTTCTTCTGCATATTTGTTGAGCGATACGTTCTTGGTTGGTTAGTTGACAGCCAGCCAGCCAGCCAGCCAGAGTGAGTTCCTTGTTGCTCATTCTTTCTCGCCTTCTCATCTCATCTGGTCTCATCTTCAGTATCGAGTGAGCGAGGGAGCGTTGACTGCAGATATTGATGATGTATGTGTGTAGTTCGTTGGAAATGCTTTTCGTAACGCGCCAAGTCTCTCAACCATCACATAGAAGCACTGACTTGATTGACATTAGTATTCAGAATCCGCATCTCGTTGTTTATGCTGAGTGGAGTGGAGTGGAGTAGATCTCCACATTGATTTCAGATTAATGAAGGCCTGCCTTGCTGTCTTTCCAATGCTGGCTTTGACATCCTGATCTGTGAGGCCGCCTGTAGTTGAGACGATGCTGCCTAAGTGAGTAAGTAAGTAAGTAAGTGAAAGAGACAACTTCCTTTAAATTTCTCCCGTTGATGGTGATTGGTGCTTGTTGTTATTGTTGTTGGTTGTGTATCTTCACCACCTCTGTCTTCTCCACGTTCACCTGAAAGAAGTCCCGTCTTCGCTGCCTCGCCCTGCCTCTTCTGCCAACTTGTTAGTTTTTGCCTGTAGATCTTTAAGTTTGTGCGACTCAAGACATAAGACATAAATCATCATGGGCGAAATCCAAATCTTCTTCTAGGGTCTTTTCATCGGTCAAACAGTGTATGCTCCTCTTCTCGCTTCTCATGAGAAATACTATGATGTAAACTGTGTCAATAAATAAGAAGCGAATAAATTTATTGTGAGTTTTGACCTTGAAATGTTATATGTAACTTATCTGCTTTCACCTAAAATCCTCATCATTTGTTTTTTCATAATGCTTTGTTTAGGTAGAACCAGTCAGTGGATCCATAAAATCATCTATTAATTACTTGTATGAATTAATTAGTAAGAAATATGCCAATAAATCAGGTATGTTAGTGAATGTCAAAAATTGAACACATTGAATATTCTCATTTAAACATTTAGAAAAAGACTGATTGAGCAAAGAAATGTATATTCCTCTTCAATTACGTCTTCATCTTGCGCTCTACACTACTATGCATAGTTTTACAATTCAATTAAATTACCAATCCCGTGATGGTGATGTATCGAAAATAATGATGTAAATAATCAATAGAGTTACTAAAATTGGAAACATGAAATAAGCTTTCCTTTGGTAAATGGAGTGACTTTAATGAATGCTCAGTCATCCACAATAAACGATTACGTCGTGATAAGAAACTAAATGAATATTGATAGAAACAAGGGGAAGGCGAAGAGGTATACAAAGTAAACCTAGAAGTTACATCATGTTGACGGCCACGGTAATGAAAGTAGTCGAATAAACTTCTTTTGGATACGAAGACTAGGTCTGTAAAGGTGGATTGCAATGGCCTCTGCTATGTGAAGTAACCGAGTGTGTAATCCATGAGGTAAATTAATTGGAATCTGAAGGATAATTTTGAAGGCTTTTCCAGTAACCACTTCATGTCCTGTGTCAACTAAGTGTGCAAGTATGGAGCTCTTTATAGTTCTAATTTGTCCCTTGTTCAACCAAGATGGAACGATGGAACTGCCTCATTGTACGCCCAATGTAACTAGCTCCACAGGAGCAGTTGAATTGATAAATGCACATAGAAGTGGTGTACAATGAGACGATTCCATCGTCGAATTTCTGATCACCACCCATCATGGTTGAACAAGAGACAAATTAGAACTATAAAGAGCTCCATACTTGCACACTTAGTTGACACAGGACATGAAGTGGTTACTGGAAAAGCCTTCAAAATTATCCATCAGATTCCACTTAATTTACCTCATGGATTACACACTCGGTTACTTCACATAGCAGAGGCCATTGCAATCCACCTTTACAGACCTAGTCTTCGTATCCAAAAGAAGTTTATTCGACTACTTTCATTATCGTGGCCGTCAACATGATGTAACTTCTAGGTTTACTTTGTATACCTCTTCGCCTTCCCCTTGTTTCTATCAACAGTCATTTAGAAAGAAAAACATCTTTAACAAACAGAATACCATGGATTCATTTGATTTCATCATTCATCATCAGTTGCTTACATTTTTTACATTAATTTATACAGAATATTTTCATACTCGACTCAGTTTAATAAAAAAATTATCGACTTGATATCATCGATAAGAAGAAACTGAAAAACTCATAAATTGATTGAATAAATATGCTGAACTAAGTTAAATGCTTTATTTAGTACCTAAAGTTATGTGTACGAGGTTCAAGTCTGAGTGGGATGCAGTTGGATAGAGCTGACGAATGGCAAGGAGGATGAAACCTGCATCCTAGATTCCAATGCTTACCGAAACTGGTTCAATTTAAATGTTATTTTGTTCTGATCTGTATGCCATATACACACACACACACGTACTATTTTTAAGTTTACTTCTCTTACCCCTACTTAACTAAGTATATGGATGACACATTTCACTTCATTAAAAGAAATGAATCAATCAACGACCTTTTTGGTTGGGAATGAAAAGGGAAACTCGCATTTTTTTTTTCGATGTTCTGATCACACAGTAGAATGAAACTGTGACAATTGGAAACTGAAGTATTCACGAAATTAAATCATACAGATTAAATCTTTAACTACGCTAGTAAAAATCCAATAACACACAAAATTAGTTGCAAAAAAAAGATATTGTTTAAAACAGCGAAGACAAACTATGAATGCCAACAGAGACCGATCAGTTCAGTCCAATCAACTACAGGACAATACAAGCAATAACACTAAAACTGTACCTATCGCACAAGAATTGGCTATCATGGCTCGGTGGTCTAGTGGATAATGCTCTGGTGTTTGAAGTGGTCGATTCTGGTTTTGAATCCCTGGTGGGAACAACATTACCGCACTGGAGTGCAGGTACATCCGGCTGATGAGTCCCAAACAAGACGAAATGCGCATCTTGAATTCCACTGCTAGCCAATATTCATCATTATTGTATAATTAAAAACAGGGGCAATATCGAGGTATCCGCACAAGAACCCGATCAACTAGCTTATTTTCGTTCATATGATGAGCATGAATTCGACTGAGTAAATTTGGAAGTCCTGGGTCGTGGAGAGATAAAGAATGTCAGAGAATTCTTAGAAGCTTGGTATACAGTTCAGTTAGCGATCAACAAATATATTGACATTGACCCTATTTATCAACCAATAAGAAACGACAAAAAGGTCAAAGTTCACGCCGACAGGATAACCAATCAAAATAACTATGAAGACAATAACAAGATAATACCAGAAACAACCAATCAATTTCAAGGTCATCATCCAACTTAGGGGACTTAAAATCATCCTCCTGAGCTCATGATCATTTCAGCATTGATTTGTACTATTACTTGTTTGGGTTTGGTGAAGTTGGCTGAAAGTAGTATCTGACTAATTTATACGATCTCGAAATGTTTTGATTCAAGATATTCTTTATGCCCCCCTGCCTACCAACTTAGCCAGCTGAAGTTGCTGAACAAAGCGACCAAAGCCAGCGATTGTTTAAATGACCTTGAAAATAGTTTGTCGCTTTGAAAGAACATTTGAAAAAGGCGATTTAAAGATATAAACTGTGTATATGAAGAAATAGAGATGCTTTCAGCAACTTTGTGCATATTCTTACAGTAGGTAATAAGCCACACCTTTTGTGTATGAGGGCTAATGATGCTAGTATCTGACTTCCCAAAGCTTAGTAGGTGGATCGATATTCGAATTCGTGAATCACTGTGGGGAAAGTCAACTGCTGAAACCAATGAAGTTACAACCCCACAAAAATGTAAATAATGATATACTGAATAATGATTGAGCAGGATCATTTTCAAAATTTGTTTTAGAAGTGTGTTCCAGTTTTCCCTAGAGATGTCTAGGAGAACGGCAGACTAACTACTTGTGTGCATGAAATCATCCACATGACTATAGATCATTACATTCAAGGAACCATAGATAGATAATCTTCGTAAAAGACAACCTAAACTTGGAAAAGATGTGCCTAAGATGAAACTTAAGATTGAGTAACAGACTTCCTTCTGTCATACATCGAAACACATAACCGTCAATATATTCTGAATCCATGTAAGTAGTCATGTAGTAGATCTGCACCTGGCGCCTAGTATGAATATACGAGCCGAAATACCTTCATATTTCTTAACACTTCAAACATTGCTGATCCATCAATATCAGACAACGTGAACAAAATAAAAGATGCAGGTTTTGATAAAGGAGACTCTACTCCCAATACCATTAAATTCAAAATCTGTAGCTAGAACAGTCTTATTTTCAATGTGGTACAAACAAACATGACTTTACATTGTCAGCGTCAAATAATTGTGAAGAGAATACAATACCGACATTGTTTCTTTGCATCGATACAATGTTTTCGCACTGTAAGCTACTGATCTACACAATACTTCAAAACAACATGAAAAAGGAATTATATATTACACTTTCCTAATGGCTTATTGGTCAATCTAGTCGATTATTCAGACTCATCTAAGCGCTAGGTAATTTCATTACATTCACACCGTAATCTGATTAACTGGTTTTATTATTATTATTTCCCCCTTGGGTTCCTAGTGGAACATAGAGCTTCAGTAACACGCTTTTATTGCACTCTGTTCTCTGTAGTGTTTTGAACCTGGCACCACGACTGCCCACAAGCTTTATTTTCTTCTTCACATGATCCCCTTCATGTCGTCCTCGGCTCAGGCGCCCAACTCGTCGTTTCCCACCCGGGGTCCCACTCGAGGGCCTGACGCGTGATGTCCCCAGTCGGCCTTCTAAGTGTATGCCCAATCCATCTCCACTTCCTTCTGCAAATTTTTTGGGCGGTAGGTTCTTGGTTGGTTCGTTCACAGGCCAGAGTGAGTTCCTTGTTGCCTATTCTTCTTGACCATCTGATCTTCAGCAACGAGCGTAGGTGATACTTGTTGATACATGTCTGTAGTTTGTAGGAAGTGCTTTTCGTGACGCGCCAAGTTTCTGAACCATATAGCAGCACTGACTTGACTGAATTGATGTTGAAAATCCGGATGTTGTTCACGCTTTATGCTGAGTGTAGTAGATCTCCACATTGATTTCAGATTAATGAAGGCCTTTCTTGCTGTCTTTACGATCCTGGATTTGACATCTTCATCTGTGCCACCTGTAGTTTAGACAATGCTGCCTAGCCAGGTAGGTGGAAGAGACTACTTTCTTTAGGTTTCTCCCGTTAATGATGATTGGTGCTTGTTGTTGTTGTTGGTGGTGTTGGTTGGGTATCATCATCATCTCTGTCTTTTCTACGTTCAATTGAAGTCCCGTCTTCACTGCCTCTTCTGTCAACTTGTTAATTTTCGCCTGTAGATCTTCGAGCTTTTTGGACATTAGACACAAATCATCATCGGCGAAATCTAAATGTTTTAGGCTCTTTTCATAGGTCCACTCAAATATTATCGAATATTACAACTATAACCTTCAAGATTACTCACTTTTGACAGATATTCAAGCGTATAATTTGAAAGTATTCTTTATCAAATATTTACGAATAACTGAGTAGTTGAGAACTCCTTTATGATATGTTTGAAAATTGGTTACAATGGCGTAGATGTATTCACTCCTTGACATCTAAAGCTGCTTGAATTTTGTTTGTTGTCTAATACAACTTCATCTACTTTTTTTATCACTCCTTCTCTATCCATATGTTCTTTGTATACTACTGTAAAATATGATAACTTAAACCAATCCACCCGTTTAAGATTGTTCTACGTTGATTTTGTCAGTTAAATAAATAGCTGAATATGCATTAGATGATAAACGAACATGATGTTGTTTTGATTACTAAGATATCTAACAAGATTGAACGTTGTTTTGACAATTTTCCTTTATTTCTCAGAAATACTACTGCCAATTCGATCTATAACTATTCAATTTTATGACTACTAATTCAGTAGTAGATCTGTAGGTGGTTACTCTAGTTAGTTAATTTTCAGAAGTAGTATTCATCATGGACTGACATTAGTTGGGGAACCATTGAAAATCTGGGAGCACTGGACAGCTGTTATGTCCTAGTATAGGACTCCTCAGCAGTACGCACCCACGACCCGGCTAGGCATCGAACTCAGGACCTTCAGGTTTCACGGCGAACGCGTTAACCTGTGGGGTCAACCAGTCGGAAGGGAAGTGGATGCTAATCGAAGACTTTGGGTGATAGTCGCGCTATGTCGTGAATGGACTGAAGTTGGAAATTGTGAACCACTGGAAACCGACCTAGTGGCTGAGTGGCTAACGCGTTCGCCGTGAAACCTGCGGGTCTTGAGTTCGATACCTAGCCGGGTCGTGGGTGCGTACTGCTGAGGAGTCCCATACTAGGACGAAACAGCTGTTCAGTGCTCCCAGATTTTCAATGGTTCCCCAACTGACATCAGTCCATGATGAATACTACTTCTTAATCAAAAAAATCCCCATTCATCAACAATAAGTTAATTTACTTTAATTTATTTTTATATATAGGTATTGTTTATTGTTTCTCTCAAAAGGATACTGAAGATATTTCTTCAGATTTAAAAAAGTTTGGTTTAAAAGTTGCTCCATATCATGCTAATTTGGATTTTAATTATCGATCAAAAGTTCATTATGATTGGGTTCATGGTCGAATTCATGTATGTTTTTAGCCTAATATTATGTATTTTTAATATTATTGACTAGGTTATATTAGTACATTTAGACAAATTTTAACCAGAAATATGTTTGTTAATCTGCCATTTATAACAATTTTGATATATTTCGTTATATATCCTCCTTGGTGTAGTTGAAAATATCTTTTTCGATGGCAAATATTCCGGTGAATGCTGCAGTCTATTAGTAGTAATAGATAATGGTTATCAGTGGACATGGGTTTCGTCCTACATAGGACTTGTTACCTAGATGTGCCTACCTTCTACCGAGTGATATTCATACTAAGATTAGAAACGAGAACCGATCGCTTCAAATGTCAGAGCTTCATCATTCAGACTTCTGAGTCAATAAAGCCACTCCTTCTGCAATGGGTATAGTTCAAGTGATATTGGTTGTAATTCTCTGTCTCTGATTGGACCGAATTGATCAGTCTTTATTGAAATATGAGTTCGTACGTGGATACACCGAATAGGACGTAAATGCACATTCGTTAAAGCTGCGTTTTCATTCCCTAGATAGTTTTAAAATTAAGTGAGACAAATCTCGTACTATCTAGGTGGAATCTATTCCATACGATACAATGATGAATATGCATTCATTTGTTATGCTTCACATCTATCCATCTAAGTCAGCTTAGGACCAGGTATTGCTGCGTAACAGTCCGAGTTGCCACACCTCATCATATCAGTACATAAAGTAAAACGTCAGTGAAGTACAAGATGAAGAAAAGAAAATTCAATCAAAAGAAATATTAAGTACGAAAAGAGAGAAAGGAAGAATGCGGGAATGGTGAGATTCACTATAGCGTCGTTAAGATGAGGATAATGTATGTATACATCTGAACCACTCACATCGCTCCTGAGCCATATTGCGTAGGGTCACTCTCCAATCACTGGTTTCTCTTGTCACGCACACACCAACCGACCAGTCTACAAAATCGCCCCATATGCCTCAAAACCAACAGTCAAACACTTCATACATTCATGTCATGTTTTAGTCTGGTCGACAGCCAACAGCCCTGCGCCAGTCTGAACCTACTTCGGTCAACATTGTGTGACGAGACAGATGGCGAACAGGCACACGTAACACATATGTCCCAGTCAGCCATCTCACTCCATGAAGGTTCACAACAGTGTTAACTCACTCAACAGATCTCTTCTCCCTAAAACTCTACACCTAACTTCTCCGTTACTCATGTGGTGACACTACGGAATACGGCCTATACTACGAGGACAACAGTGGTCAAACACCTGAAGCCAGCCTTCTCATGTCTTCCACCTTCAATGACCATGTTTCACAGTCATAGAGTAGAATAGAGAGGACTACTGTGCAGTACATGCGACCCTTAGCAGATGATTGGATATTACGGTGGCGCCACAGGCTGCGTAGGTTGGCAAAAGCCAGCCGAGTCTTTTGTATCCGTGTAGAGATTTTCATCGACTACTGAGCCACCAGTTCCAGGTAAATAAAGTGGTCAACACACTCAACCGCCTCACTCTTTACTATAAGACGGGGAACCACTGAAGACCAATCCTGGAGCAATAATTTGGATTTGGGTGTCGAGAAACGCATCTCAGACTTTGCATTTTGTCAGCATCTTCACCTACGAGAAGTATATCACCTGTGTATTCTAGATCGACCAAGAATGTGATGTGACCAATCCCTGTGAAATCAGATAACGAGAGAAAGACTTCCATTCATTCCTCTATGAAGTAGTTGCAGAGAGTATGCATCCTTGACAGACGTCTCTCGATGTACACGGCTTATATGGTAACTCACCGTAGGTTCTAACAGGCTTATGGATGTTCGAATAAACAGCCTTACTCGATCCTCTTTTCAGTGAGGTGCACTTGAGTTGAAGTGAAGTGGTTGTGTTAGTATTAAATTATGAACAGTAAGTGAAAGGTGGATGTTTGTAATTAAGATTGATCATCGATCTACTGCTATAGGTGCCTGAATCTGCGTCCCATCTAGCACAAATAACAATTTCAATTACTTATAGAAGGAAACTTATAAATGCTTTGGGTGACTACTATATTTGAGAAGTCTGTATTTTTTTCCGGTGAGTGTCATTTATTCGAAAGTTTAAGTACATAGAATCGAAGACACAATGTTTAACACCAGCACTTTTTGAGCCTTCCTTAGATTAGAAAAGCACTAATAACTAGTTGCATAGAATGGCAGTCAGCTCTCTACCTCAACTTTATCGACTTTGAGAAGGCCTTTGACAGCGTCGACCGAGAAGTAATTCGGAAACTGCTTCATTACTACGGAGTACCGCAAACCTTTATCCGCCTCATGCAACAACTATATGAAGATGCCACATGCCAAGTAATTCACAATTGGAAGCTCAGTGATGCTTTTGAAGTGAAGAGAGGAGTGAAACAAGGTTGCATACTATCCCCCATGATATTCCTTATTGTGGTGGACTGGATCATGCAGCAAACAGTGGGGAGCTATGAGAAGAGGGGGATACGCTGACTGGACTGCGGAAAAGAAACTAGAAGACTTGGATTTCGCCAGCGATGACTTGTGCTTGATGTCACATAAACTTGAAGATCTACAGGCGAAAACTAACAAGTTGATAGAAGAGGCAGGGCAGCGAAGACGGGACTTCAGGTGAATATAGAGAAGACAGAGGTGATGAAGATACCGCACCACCACCAACAACAACAAACTCCAATCACCGTCAACGGGAGAAACTTAAAGGAAGTTACCTCCTTCACTTATCTAGGAAGCACTGTTTCAACTACAGGCGGCACAGGCGCAGACGAGGATGTCAAAGTCAGAATCGGAGAAGCAAGACAGGCGTTCATTAGCCTGAAACCAGTGTGGAGATCTTCTGCACTCAGCATGCGAAACAAGATACGGATTTTCAACACCAACGTCAAGTCAGTGCTTCTGTATGGTTGAGAGACTTGGCGCGTTACGAAAGGAATTTCCAACAAACTACAGACATTCATCAACAACTGCTTACGCTGGCTCGCTACTGAAGATCAGATGGATTGCCAGAAAGAATAAGCAACAAGGAGCTCTGGGAAAGAACCAACCAAGAAGCTATCACGCAACAAATATGCAGGAGGAAGTGGAGATGGATTGGGCATGCACTGAGAAGGCCAACTGAGGACATCACGCGTCAGGCCAGTTTCTCGAGTGGAATCCCCATGGGAAGCGACGAGTTGGACGTCGGTGCCGAGGGTGACATGGAGGAGATCGTGCGAGGAGGAAATGAGAGCTTCTGGGCTGTGGTGGAACCAGGTTGAAAAGATCTCAGAGAACAGAGGTCACTGGAGGCGTGCTACTGAAGCCCTATGTTCCACTAGGAACCCAAGGGACTAATAATAATAATAATAATAATAATAATAATAATAATAATAACTAGTTGCTCAGTGAGAACATCTTTTTATCCCATCCAAGTCCAAATTTACAACAAATACTACTCTAAGACAGTTGAAGATCAAGAAACAAGTATATTGAGTGTGATTTCAGTGAGTGCCCACAAAAGACAAAATTGATCATCAAATAATTTAGGTGTGATGAAGCACCACTGTCTAGAGACACCTAATATATATATATTAGTTTACGTATGATCAAGTCATCTCTAACTGTGTTCTCATTCGTTGTTGCTGTTCTATGATTCTGATAAATACTATCATCCTATCGGTTATCACGTAGAGGTACATTTGAGTCTATGCTGCTGTAACCATTTTAGTGTACCTGCAGGCATTTAGTACTGCATTACTGGGCCTGTATAAACCATCGGGCAAAGTGACTGTGTGACCTAACTTTGGGACTATGTGAAATGTATCTATAACGATTACACAATCCAATCGGTGTTCTCCTGCATCAGTCGGGAGGGTTATTTCCAGTGAATCCTATATGGCAATAATATAATTCATAATTCCATTCCAAGTAAGTGGACACAAGCGATTAGTCTTGAATAACTTTAAAGGCCATTCTAGCAACCAATGAAATGGCCAATTCGTTTTCTTTCTTTTGGTTGGGCGATTTTTTTATGAAAGGAAGAAATTTAATTCGTGAGTGACTTTAAAGGCCACACTAACAAATATTGAGATACCTCACGATATAGCGCAACCGCCACCCAATATCATCTTTGATGGTAGTGATGACATTTACTCAACGATGACATTGGGTTGCGGTTGCGCTATATTGTGAGCTAACAGAAGTTGTAAATATGGACGATTGGATTCTGACCCGGTGGCTCAGTGGTAACGTGCTGGCCACGGGACCTGATGGTCGCAGGTTCGATCCCTGGCTGGGTTGTGGGGGGGGGAACTGCTGAGGAGTGCCATACTAGGACGAAACAGCTGTCGAGTGTCATCAGGTTTCCTTTGTTCCTCCAACTGATGTCAGTCTACGATGAATAACAGCTTGAAATAGTTCCAAATCCCCACAACTCCCTCGAAATTCAAATTACGTTTCCTCGATTAATAAAAATCAGCCTTCTCAGCTGGAGTCTGATTGGTTATTTCAGCTTTAGCTAGGGTGACCTTGAAAGTCACTCGTTAGTTCAGTTGTTTGGATTACCTTCAGAGTCAGCCAATGTTTGTTTGAATAGAGGTAGCAATTTTAATAGTTATTTTTCAAGCTACTTATCCTACTTATTTTGTGATTCGATGGGATATTATCACATTTGAATTTATAGTAACTTGAGCTTCATTAGTTTGGAACATTAACAAAATGGTTACAACTTTGAAATTCAATCTACCTATTGAATTGGATCATCCAGCAAACCGTGAGTAGCGAGAAGATGGGCATACGCTGGCTGGACCGATGAAAAGACCACAGAAGAAGATTTGGATTTCGCCCATGATGATTGATGTCTTATGTCTTGAGTCGCACAAACTCTAAGATCTACAGGCAAGAACTAACAAGTTGGCAGAAGAGGCAGGGCGAGGCAGCGAAGACGGGAATTTTTTCAGGTGAACGTGGAGAAGATAAAAGTGATGGAGATACCCAACCAACAACAATAACAACAAGCACCAATCACCATCAACGGAAGAAATTTGAAGGAAGTTGCCTCTCTCACTTACTTAGGCAGCATCGTCTCAACTACAGGCGGCTGCACAGATCAGGATGTCAAAGCCAGCATTGGAAAGACAGCAAGGCAGGCCTTCATTAATCTGAAATCAATGTGGAGATCTACTCCACTCCACTCAGCATAAACAACGAGATGCGGATTCTGAATACTAATGTCAATCAAGTCAGTGCTTCTATGTGATAGTTGAGAGACTTGGCGCGTTACGAAAAGCATTTCCAACAAACTACACATACACACACACACACATCATCAATATCTGCTGCCAACGCTCCCTCGCTCACTCGATACTGAAGATGAGGCCAGATGAGATGAGAAGGCGAGAAAGAATGAGCAACAAGGAACTCACTCTGGCTGGCTGGCTGTCGACGAACCAACCAAGAACGTATCGCCCAACAAATATGCAGAAGAAAGTGGAGATGGATTGGGCATACACTGAGAAAAACCATTCAAGGATGTCACGCTCCAGGCCAGTTCCTTGAGTGGAACCCAAAGGGGGAAGGATGAGTTGGGCGTCTGAGCTGAGGGTGACATGGAGAAGATCGTGTGAGGAATAAATGAAAGCTTGTGGGCAGTTATGGTGCCAGGTTGGAAAGACTGAACAGAAGCTAGTGAAATGGAGACGTTTTACTAAAGCCCTATGTTCCACTGGGAACCGAAGAAAAAAATAATAAAATAATAATTGAATTCTTAGCAACCAGTCAGTGTAATTAAACTCCTTACACAATAACTGTGACTCATAGTACAGTACACAGATACGTGGATAGTTGTTGTAAGTTACAGAAGCAGTTGACAACAGAAGTGCGCTGCAGTCTACCGAAACTGATAAATGCTTTTTATCTTTAGTGACTCTCAGATTACATCTTCAGCAAATCATCGAAAATGGATCTCTAATGAATGCATTTCCTACTCAAATTATGTATATTTTCATGAAACTGTTTAAAACGATCATGCATGTAACTTCATGATATTGCAAATTTCATAGTCCTAAATTTAGATTGAAAATTGTGTTAGTGATTCGATAAAAAAAGTTAAAAGCACTAGGTGGTATTTATGACGAACTGATATCAGTTGGAGAACGATTGAAAGCCTGGGAATACTGAACACTAGCTGTTTTGTCTTAGTATAGAACCCTTTGGCAGTATGCACCTATAACTCTGCTAGGGATGGAACTCAGGGTCTTAAGGTTTCAAGACGAACGTGTTAACGATTCAACAAATTAGTCGGAGTTTATACCTTAGAAGTGGTCTGCAACCACTTCGAGTTTAATGATAGGAAGTAAAATGGTGAGATGTTTCAACCATTTCACTTACCTCGGGAGTTACACCGACCTGAATGGGCTGGTTGATGATGAAATCTCATCTGGGATACAGAAACCCGTTTGGTATTTTCCAACCTACATCACTTGTGGCGCAGACCGGAGAGATATCCGACTATTTATCAAAAGGACGAGGATGCTGCATTGCAGTCTATTCTCTCCTGTTGTACGGCTTTGAGATGTGACCTTTAAAAGTAGATCATATGACGTGGTTATATGGTTTACATCAAAGGTGTAATCGCAGCATTGCTCACGTTTGATGAAATCACCGTGTAAGGAATGATGAAGTCAGAAGAAGAGTACTAGGCGAAACATTCAAACCGGATTGATGAGGTTGTGAATCTTTACTGCATATGTGGAACCTCTCCCTACCTTGAAATGTTATGCTAAGGGAAGTTGGATCATGTTGGAAGAGATTTCAATGTAGTCAGACCAAGACATCATACCAGTGTATGAAGTCCCTGACTGTTAATCTGAGTCGTATTGAAAAATGTAGCCTATTTAGCTTGTTTCTGAAATGATCGGAGTCAATGGTCAGATGTATTCACTCCCTGACCATTATCTTTAAATTCTTTACTGTCTCACATAACTTTGTCTACTTTTGATATCATTCTTTTTTCATTCATCTATTCCTTGTGTACTGTTGTAAAGTGTAGCAACTTGAACCGAGGTTCTACGCTTGCCTTTGATCCTGTTATAGAATATGGACATATCTCAATTTTTAGCTGTTTCTAATGTATATACGAACCTAGAAGACTTGGATTTCGCCAGCGATGACTTGTGCTTGATGTCACATAAACTTGAAGATCTGCAGGCAAAAACTAACAAGTTGATAGAAGAGGCAGGGCAGCGAAGACGGGACTTCAGGTGAATATAGAGAAGACAGAGGTGATGAAGATACCGCACCACCACCAACAACAACAAACTCCAATCACCGTCAACGGGAGAAACTTAAAGGAAGTTACCTCCTTCACTTATCTAGGAAGCACTGTTTCAACTACAGGCGGCACAGGCGCAGACGAGGATGTCAAAGTCAGAATCGGAGAAGCAAGACAGGCGTTCATTAGCCTGAAACCAGTGTGGAGATCTTCTGCACTCAGCATGCGAAACAAGATACGGATTTTCAACACCAACGTCAAGTCAGTGCTTCTGTATGGTTGAGAGACTTGGCGCGTTACGAAAGGAATTTCCAATAAACTACAGACATTCATCAACAACTGCTTACGCTGGCTCGCTACTGAAGATCAGATGGATTGCCAGAAAGAATAAGCAACAAGGAGCTCTGGGAAAGAACCAACCAAGAAGCTATCGCCCAACAAATATGCAGGAGGAAGTGGAGATGGATTGGGCATGCATTGAGAAGGCCGAGTGGGGACATCACGCGTCAGGCCGTAGAGTGGAATCCCCATGGGAAGCGACGAGTTGGACGTCGGTGCCGAGGGTGACATGGAGGAGGTCGTGCGAGGAGGAAATGAGAGCTTGTGGGCTGTCGTGGAACCAGGTTGAAAAGATCTCAGAGAACAGAGGTCACTGGAGGCGTGCTACTGAAGCCCTATATTCCACTAGGAACCCAAGGGACTAATAATAATAATAATAATGATAATGATAATAATAATGTATATACAACTATCCGCATCAAACAACTAGTGGTTATAAGTTTCTATTTTAAATTATTCATTATGATTATTATTCATTTCTTTCTTTCTTTCAATTTTTTCGCATATTCATAAATTTATAGGTGATAATTGCCACAATAGCCTTTGGTATGGGTATTGATAAATCAGATGTACGCTTTATAATACATTTTTCTTCAAGTAAAAGTTTAGAGAATTATTATCAAGAATCTGGTAGAGCTGGTCGTGATTCTAATCCAGCTGATTGTATACTAATGTGGCGTTATTTAGATCTATTTCGTTTAGCTAGTATGGTATCATCTGAACGAACAGGAATTATGAAACTCTTTCAAATGATTGATTATTGTATTGATCCAGAGAAATGTAGACGTTATTTACTTTCAAAAAATCTTGGTGATACATCTTGGTCTATGAATGATTGTAAAAATGCGTGTGATAATTGTCAGCGTAAAACTTCAAATATTTCAGGTGAGAAGATATTTATTATTATTATTATTTGTCCCTTGGGTTCCTAGTGGAACATCCGATTTCAGAAGCACATCTCCATTACACTCCCTTCTCTGAAATCTCTCCAACCTGGCTACACCACTGCACACAACCTCTCATTTATTCCTCACACCATCTCCTCCATGTCACCCTCACCTCGGACGCCCAACTCGTCGTTTCCCACCCGGGGTTCCACTCGACCAACTGGCCTGGCGCGTGATCTCCCCAGTCGGCCTTCTCAGTGTATGCCCAATCCAATCCAATCCATCTCCACTTCCTCCTGCATATTCGTTGAGCGATAGGTTCTTGCTTGGTTCGTTCCCAGAGTTCCTTGTTGCTTATTATTCTGGCCATCTGAGCTTCAGTATCGAGCCAGTGTAGGCAGTTGTTGATGAATGTTTGTAGTTTGTTGGAAATGCTTTTCGTAACGCGCCAAGTCTCTGAACCATACAGGATCACTGATTTGACGTTGGTGAGAGGATATATTAATAATCCATATTAAAAAGTTTTAATCATTTACAACTAAATAGGAGATAATAAATTGGTGTTATGTTATATGGTAAGAGTCGAAAAAGAAATCGTAGACCTGTATTTCGTGATTGTTAACACTCATCAGTAGAATGTATCTGCAAATTGGTGTTATGACTGACTGGAAGAAAAAGGAAGCGAGATGAAGACTATTTAAAGGTGAATGCTCACTAGTAAAAGTAAAACCTATGATAGTAAAAGCACCTCTGATGCCTTAGCATATTATATAATCAACTTCTTCATAAATATTTTGAACATTTATTTGTTCTTTCTTAACCCAGTAGCATTACGGTGCACCATAAGGGTGCACTACAATTTTTCCACTTCCTCACAAATTATTAAGATACCAGGAACCTTCAACCAAAAGTACCACTTGCAAAGCGGATATGCAATGCTTTCAAATAATGAGTAAGGTTTGGATGAAATATGGTTCTACGAAGCTAGTTAAACAATGAACACCTACGAGTAAAGAAACCTTTTGACGGCATTCAAGACTACGAGCAGTGATGATAAATAATCACTCGAGGCTTGCAACTTTACTTTCCTAGTGAAGCTTAAGCCGTAGGTAAAAGTTATATGTAAGAGGGAATCGTTAGAAGAACATGAAGAACGATCCCATTGCTATCATATATATATATATATATATATATATATATATATATATATATATATATATATATATATAGAGAGAGAGAGAGAGAGAGAGAGAGAGAGAGAGAAGACCGAAGCTGGAAGATGCGAGAGTTTATTATTCCGAGAGTATAATAGTCAATCAATCCAAAACATGTGAATAAGTACACACATAAATATGATCTTGTCCGCAATTGGAGAGATTCGCATAGTAAGAGTAGAAGGTTAACCAATCAGCGAATTACATTACAATAGGGACAGAAAGTAGACTACCAGTCATACTATAAAAATGGTGTGAGAAAGCTAAGTTAAAATGTTCGGATCGATAATAATCTTTCAATACAAAACTGGCGCCTTACAACAGCCAAGAACAGAACATGGAGTGACTGACAAAGATTAATGTGCACCAAAGTTATATTTTTATTGGACACTGGTTACCAACTGATGAGCTATGTAAATTGATGACGTTATGGTTGCACGCAACGTGGTACACCGTGAGTAATCTATCTACATTGGAGTTTGTAAGCTGGTAAGAGATATAAACCGTAAAAGCCTTAAGGTAATGTATGTCTTATTCTAAAGTTTAGAATTCTTGAGTAAGCATTGTATATCTCTTTAATCCATACAAGCAGGTAGCAAACGCATAGTAAAACGAAGGGATCTTGGTTTCAAGTTTTCTGAACTATTACTGGATATAACGCCCACCTCTTCAAAATACTGTCACTATAGAGTAGAAATATGTGTTCAACCATTCAAAGTTTTAGATGAGGGATACTAACAAGATTCAAAGTCTTCTAGGCACATTAAGTGGTCATTTGAAATTGTTTAGGATACACTTCTCAGCATCAAAATGGAAGTTTTTGCCTTAGGACTAGGTTAGGTTAGTATATTTCTTGAAAAAAGGGAGTGAATTGGTTAAATGGATTGTCCACTTCTCTTTACTAGTTAGTTTGTCGATCGGGACAATCGAGGAACTGACAAATATCTAGAAAAGGCTCAATTGCCAACCAGGTAGTCTAAAACGGCTCACAACAACAGTGAAGAACTTCAAGCACTGACGCCGTCTTAGACTGGCTCTCCTGAGCCATCTTCCAGCCTAATCTAACTTCTAACATTGCACGTTGAAGTCTGCGGTGGTTCGGCATGGACAGTATATGTTCAAATCATCTTAGCCGACTAAGGTTCACAACCTCATCAATCGACTTACCTGTCTTCTTCTGGTACCCTTCTCCTAACCTCAACATTCTCTACACGGTGATTCTACCAAACTCGAGTAATACTGCGTAAATATCTATGGTTTAGAACGTGTAACCGCCTTATATCTTCTACTTCCAAAGATCATGTCTCACAGCCGTACAGCAGGAGAGAACAGACTGCAGCGCAGTATTCTTGCTCTTTGATAGATAGTCGGATATCTCTCCAGTCAGCGGTACAGATGATGCAAGTTGGCAAGTGCCAAACAAACCTTCTGTATCCGAGCTGTGATAACATGTGGATGTATCTGCGTAACTGACATCAATTCTGAACTATATCTCATCTAATCTCTAAACATCGTTTTCGGTGGTTATATACAAACCCTAACCGGGAAGTTTCCATTTTACTACAGTACTCAGAACAATAATTAGGAACTTCATGAACTGATGTACCATTTTCTAGTCTGGCAAACTTTAATTTCTTTACAGTCTAAACCTGATTCAGTTAACATCGAGCATTAGAGCAGACACTAACTAGGTATGTGTAGCATGTGTCCAACTCACAAAGTTGATGAAGGTTTGATCTGTGACAGGAAAGTGTCATGAAACACCGAAATATAGAGACTTAGGTAGTTTTCAACAAAAATCCTATTGACATAGGCGTTTTTGGGCGGTTGAAAAACTACTCAACTGTAAGAAATATCAGCATAAAGGGTGGAATTTGTAAATCACCTGAAAATTGATTATTATTATTATTATTATTATTTGTTCCTTGGGTTCTTAGTGGAACATAGGGCTTCAGTAGCAGGTCTCCATTCCACTCTCTTCTCTGCAATCTTTTGAACCCGGCTCCACGACTGCCTAGAAGCTTTCATTTCTTCGTCACACACGATCTCTTCCATGTCACCCTCGAATGCCCAACTCACCGTTTTAGCCACTCCCTCAGTCTGCTCATGGTTTTCATCTGGGTGACTGGAGTAGATTATTGACTCTCCAGTTGACAGATTGGACATCCACTTCCACCTTTTCATCTCCTTTGCAATCTGGGTAGCCTTGCTAGGTTCATATATAGTACGAGCAATCCATGTCCCCATCCTTACTTTCGCTTTCATCGAGAGAGAGAGAAGACACATCGGCCAATTGGCTTCCAAAAGACTTTCACTAACCGGCGTCATTTCATCTCCTCAATTCCTCAATTTTTTTTAGATTTTGTCTGTGCTTTGAAGTTTCTGTAGCGGTTGGATTGGTTTTCTGGGGTAGGGTTGCTAGCCTTACGCCCAACCTTCCCTTTTCACCCATGCTTAGGACCGGTTAGTAACCAGTGAACTAGTTAACCAGGCGAGGTTTGAAAATTGATTATCCATATATAAAAACCTTTATGTTGCTAAGCCTTATTCGTTATCCTAGTTTTAAATTTATATGTGTATGCCACCTCTTATTACACTATCCTGGTATCGAAACTCATGAATTTCTTAAACTCTTGGTTAGCAGTGAAATGTAGGACGCACGTTTCCTCCCACTTTAAACACCTCAACCGGATGTTCGTACACTTCAGTAGGTGATGTTTTGTCTCACTGAAACTTGAACCTAGTATTCATCGTATCAAACGCTAAAGCGTCGTTCATTTACAGTACGAGACCCATAACTTGTGTAAAGGGTATCAGTTGTTGTTGTTGTAGTTTCCTGTTGTTACAGTCGGTCGAAATGCTCGACCTCTGTTGACATTTTCAAGCTTTTTAAATAACTCAAAATGGATGATAAATTGTTCTTCTTTAGCTAAACATGGAATAATTTTTATTCTAACTAGACTAATCATCATTATTCTTCTCTTCAGGTACATCTAATCTTCTTCTACAACTAAAAATCAATGAATTATTAAATGCAACAAAACAATTATTATTTAATCAAAGTTTAACAAAACAAGAAAGGATAACTGGTCTTAAATTAGTCGATTTAATGACTAGTCATAAACGCATACAAGATATTAGTCAACGTTTACTACTATTAGATAATGTTAAAATAAAACCGGAACGTGAATTCTATGAACATTTTATAGCATGGTGTTTAATTAAACAATATTTAAGAATAGATTTTCATTTTACACCATATTCAACAGTTTGTTATGTTGTTAACAATGACAACTTGATAGATAATAATGAAGAAAATGAATTAATGCCTTATTTAATCATACGTGGTAATAAACAACTGCAAAAGAATAAAAAGACGTCAACAACAACAACAGTAGAAGGTCAACGGACATCTGTTAAACGACAAAGAACAGATTCAATTGAATCGATCGATCTTCTGATGGATGACTGATTGTTACTGTTTTTGTTTATCTTACATGATTATCATATCATCTATGATGTTTATAAAATTGTATAAATATAATGAGGGAAATACAAATTATTTTGTAAACGTCTGATATAGAAACGATTAGAATCATCGATGATCTTCCTGATTCTAGTCGACTGGATCATGCAACAAACTGTGAGGAGCAAGGAGATGGGTATAAGCTGTTTGACCGATCAAAAAACCCCAGAAAAAGATTTAGATTTCGCCTATGATGATGATGATGATTTATGTCTAGTGTCTTATGTCGCACAAACTCGAAGATGTACAGGCGGAAACTAATAAGTTGACTGAAGAGGCGAGGCAGCAAAGACGGGACTTCCCTCAAGTGAACGTAGAGAAGACAGAGGTGGTTAAGATACTAACCAATAACAACAACAAGCACCAATCACCATCGACGGAAGAAATGTAAAGGAAGTTGTCTCTTTCACCTGCCTCTCAACTACAGGCGGCCGCACAGATGAGGATATCCAAGCCAGGACAGCAAGACAGCCCTTCATTAATCTGAAATCAATGTGCACATCTACTGCGCTGCACTCAACATATAGAACAAGATCTGGATTTTCACTATTAACGTCAGTCAAGTCAGTGCTTCTATATGATGGTTCACAGACTTGGCGAATTACGAAAAGCATTTCCAACAAACTACACAACATACATCAACAGCTGCCGCCTACGCTTACTCGCTCGATAGTGAAAATCAGATTAGATAGCGAGAAGAAATCAGCAAGAAGGAGCTCTGGTCTCGCACTTAACCAACCAACCAAGAACCCATCGCTCAACAAATATGCAGAAGAAAGTGGAGATGGATCAAGCGTACATTGTGAAGACCGTTCCGGGACATCAGGCTCCAGGCCGTCGAGCGGAGGCCAAAGCGGAAACGGCTAGTTGGGCTTGTGAGGGTGACATGAAGAAGATCATATGAGGAAGAAATGAAAGTTTGTGGGCAGTCATGGAGCCAGGTTAAGCAGACTGCAGAGAAAAGAGTGAAATGGCGACGTGCTACTGAAGCCCTATGTTCCTTTAACACAACCCAAGGGACAAATAAATAAAACTAGGTGAAGAATGCCATTATGAATTCATATTCATTGACTTGAAGTATGCAGAGGATATTTACCTGTTGGATGAAGACGCCGACCAAATCCAGGGTCTTATCAAGGCGTTGAGCAGAAATCTGAGCATGTTTGACTGAGATGCATTTCGTACCTATTAAATGTAAGATGATGCTGCTCTACAGCTGGTCTGAAACGACTCCCGGTTTAATGATAGGGAAAAATACAAAGGGAAATGCCATGTCCTCAGAGAAATCTTCAGAAAAACTTTGTTTCAGTTCTCTAAACTTACTCATATAATAACTGATTAACAAAGAACGAATTGACTAATGAATTCACAGTTCACTGACTGGTAAGTCGAAAAGCTTAAATATGGAAATGTAATACATCAAAGAGACACTACTATCTAATGAATACCCTGCGATATATATATTTAAAAGGTATATAAAGACCGATAAGAGAAGTGAAAGAGTGGTAATGTCAGTAGTGATTGCAATATCCCTAAGAGGGAATTCAAATCATTTGTAGATTTACCGTATAAAAAAGGCAAAACGGAAATTTCACGTAGACTTTTTAACAATCCAAGAATCAGGGTGACATTTAGGCCGATGAAATCATTCAGAGAGAAACTTTGTAGGCTAAAGGATCCAGTAGAACCAATTAAGCAGAATAACCTAATCTATCAGATACCATATAATGATTGTGAAGTTAAGTATTTAGAACAAAGCATCCGATTGATTTCATTAAGAATTGCAGAACGCAAAAGTTTAGCGAAACAAACAATGGTAGGCCCTAATGAAATAAATAATTCACAGAAAAAAACTGGATTATCGCTCTTGATGCACTGGGACATAATTACCATACATGGTGGATCGCATAGGGAGGCAATACTAAAATCCAATATAGCTATCTGGTGAAGGGAGAGATTGCTCATAAAAACCTTGTTCATTGAATCCACACCTAACAAATGTGATAGGAATGACTCATCGAATATTGGAGATATCTGGATGATTTTACTACAATTAAAATAAATGACTGAACTGTTGGACCAGAGAAGTCTGACCTATTTGCTGAATGGTTAACGTGTTCGTCACGAAACTTGAAGGGCCTGATTTCGATCCTCGTTGAGTTCATAAGTGCGTACTACTGAGGATTCACATCCAGTGCTTTCGGGTTTTTAATGGTTCTCCTAGTGATATCAGTCTGTAATTAGTTATTATTTGAATGTAGCAGTTTGGCAGACTAGTATTTACATTGGGTGATGATTGAAGGTGAAATGAAAATTCGGACAACGGTCAGATTCGAACCAGCGACCACCGAGTTTCCAGTCGGTTTCACAAGCGGGGTTTTGGCCAACTACCAAGTGAATTCGTGACGTATTACTATCACTTGATCGTATTCACACCGGTTGCCCACCAGTTAGGACTTCTCATCCCAATCCAAACCTGATTGATTATCATTTTAACTATCTGAGATAGCTATGGCTTAGCAGACTAGTATAAATAAAGATCTAGTCAGCAGTCGGACCTCGTAGCTCAGCTGGTAGAGTATTGGGCCGAAAACCCAGTGGTTCGAATCCGGCCAAGATCCAAATTTTCATTCCCACCCCAGTGTAATTATTGTCGAACCGGTTTTAAAAGCGTAATAAAAATATACTAGGAGATGTTTTACTGAATTACATAACAAATCAATGACTACTATGAAGGTTGAGAGCTAATAACCGCCTCATTTCAGATGTACATGTTCGGTTTTATTCCTCTGATAGCAGTTGTTTCTGGTTTAATAATTATTTCTAATGAATTTAAGATGCATATATGTAGAATTTTGCCCAGGTATACTTAACTTATCTGGGATGTTTTCACGAAATCAATTGTTAGCCTTTCTTTTTGTCTTTGTGATATACGTCCATCCCTTGAAATGTACATGTCAGCTGATGAACACAATTTAAGATGAAATAACCAGAAAAACCTGTTGAATTTCTACTGTAGTAGTGAACCTTTTGTTTTGTATACTGTTTTGATGCTCCAGTTTTGTATTAAAACGTTATTATTGATCTGAACATTTTAACGTGTCATTCCCACATCATTTTAACAGTTTGACTAGTAGTCTACTTTCTGTCCCCATTGTAATGTAATTTGCCAATTGGTGAACCTTCTACTCTTACTATGCGAATCTCTCCAATTGCGGACAAGGTCATATTTTTCATATTAGATTTGTTTATTTGATATAAAGCGCACAGTGATACAGTATTATTTACTTGATTACGTTTCGAGCATAAATTATTGCTCATAATCATATCAATGTAATCACACTTCTTTCGACATCTGATTTTATAGTCCTGTCACCTGATCTCTCTTTGTTTTTTTGTTTTTTGATTGGTAGTAAAGTTTTCCATATCTCTGGTATAGGTGTTGCGTCATTCCTATTACATGTGTTGGGTGTGGATTCGATGAACAAAGATTCAGTAATTAATCTCTCTCTCCACCTAGCTATATTAGACTTAAGTACAGTGGTTTTGTCCCATCCTATTGTGTGGTTGTGTGTTAATGAATGTAATGCAATGGCTGAGTGTTTTTCTAGGTTATTGATCTTATTGGGGTCTGCCGTTCTATGTTTAGCTAAATTCCTATGTTCTGTTAATCTAACTGACCCCGACCGGCTAGTTTGACCTATGTATTTGACTTCACAGTCATTACATGGAATTTGGTAGATTATATTATTTTGCTTAATTGGTTCTATCGGATCTTTTAGCCGACAAAGCTTACCTCTAAGTGAGTTTGTTGGTTTAAATGCCACCCTAATTCCAACCTTGTTGAGAATCCTACGTATGGTTTCTGATGTTCCTTCCTTGTATGGTATCACAATAGAGGTGTTGATTTCCTTTCTACTTATGTTGTCACTATTATTTGTATTTGTATTAGTGTTATTATTTTGCTTCTTATGCGTCCGTGTGAATTTCTTAATAAAATGATGGGGATAATTATTAATTATTAACGCTTCTTTTATGTGTTTCAATTCCTTATTTAAGTCCTTACAATGACTAGTGAGTTTCTCAGCTCTGTTATTTAGACATTTGACTAAACCCGCTTTAACTGACACTGGATGAGATGACTTGAAGTCTAGATATCTGTTAGAATGTGTTGGTTTTCTGTAGACGGTAGTATCTAAACCACCATCTATCCTTCGTTTTATTCTGCAATCCAACATAGGTAATTCTCCTTGTTCATTTTCTACTTCGTAGTGAATTGGATTGCGTTAACTACTGAGTTTATGTGTGTCAAGAAACTGTCGATATGTTCCGATTTCAACACTGTAAATGTGTCATCTACATATCGCCACCATATCTTAGGTGTCGGATTATATGTTCGTAAAGCCATATCTTCCCAACTATCCATAAATATATCTGCTACTATAGGGGATATTGGTGATCCCATTGCTACTCCTTCTGTTTGTCTATATCTTTCCCTGAAACTTGAAGACTGTCGAGGTTAAGCATAACTGCACTCCTAACATGATTTCACCAACCGATGCCTTGGTTCTTTGAGTAAGTTGTGAGTCAGTATCTAGTTAGATTAACAGAACAAAGGAATTTAGCTAAACATAGAAAGGCAGACCCCAATAAGATCAATAACCTAGAAAAACACTTGGCCATTGTATTACATTCATTAACACACAAACACACAATAGGGTGGGACAAAACCACTGTACTTAAGTCTAATATAGCTAGGTGGAGAGAGAGAGATTAATTACTGAATCTTTGTTCATCGAATCCACACCCAACACATGTAATCGGAATGACGCAACACCTATACCAGAGATATGGAAAACTTTACTACCAATCAAAAAACAAAAAAACAAAGAGAGATCAGGTGACAGGACTATAAAATCAGATATCGAAACTTGTGTGTGATTACATTGATATGATTATGAGCAGTAATAATTTATGCTCGAAACGTAATCAAGTAAATAATACTGTATCACTGTGCGCTTTATATCAAATAAACAAATCTAATATGGAACTACATTCTACCACAGTGCCCAAGTTTTTCACTTATATTAAGGTCGTATTTTGTGTGTATACTTACGTGTTTTGGATTGATTTGTTATTATATTCTCGCAGTAATACACTCTCCCATCTTTCAGCTTCGGTCTCCTCTCTATTCACCTCGGGGTTGCAGTTAGTGACTCTTGCGTACTAAGTTAGCGCTTCGAAACCATAAAACATACGACGACAAATTTTCCTGACTGGTATTCATGAGTTTATCCTTCTTGTAAGCCAGTTAGAAGAATACTGGTTTCTTTTTGAAATTATCAAGTGTACTCGTTTCCACTGTTCTCCTCATTTAAACTTTATCCATAAATCTCTTAAGAAATATTTATTGTCTTTCAATAATAATCTTTCGATGAACCGAATATTTTCATGATATTTCTTTTAATGAAAAAAAGTTTCCTAGCCGCTACGCATAATCCATTGAACAGAGACTGTTAAGAGGGAAATAATGTCTTATTCCTGTTTTCTTACTTTAGCAAGGATCTATTCCTCATCAAAATATCAATTTCAAAAGAAAAATGAAATTCATTGTTTATCTCATGTTTCATGAAGAACTTATTATTCGCATGTTCTTCATCAAATATTTCTACTAATTATCTAGCATAATCCACGTCTTTACACATTATAGTCTCACTAATAACTTGAACTTATGTAGTTTTTTTTTTTACAAGTTTTACAATATCACCAAGAATGGATATGAATAATTCCTATGAATGCTGACGAATAATACTGATATGTTAAGGAATACCATCAATTTATCTTTGATACTGGTTTCGGCCATCTTTCACACAGACTAAAATGTGTCCTATGGTTTGTAGATTGGTAGCATTTCTCCTTTGAATGTTATCTAATCGATTTATCAAATATCGAGGTAAATTATACCAGAGTGAATTGATCATATAAGATTTGTTTATTTGATATATCCAGCACACAGTGATCTAGTATTATTTACTTGACGACCGCGTTTCGAGCATAACTCATCATTGCTCATATGCATATCACTGTAATCACAATTTTCAACATATGATTTTTATAGTCCTGTCACCTCATATTATTCACTTTTATTTGTAGTAAAATTTTTCATATCTCTTGTATAGGTGTTTCGTTATTCCTATTACATGTATTATTATTTTTCCCTTGGGTTCCTAGTGGAACATAGGGCTTCAGTAGCACGTCTCCATTCCACTCTGCTCTCTGCAATCTTTTGAACCTGGCTCTACGACTGTTCAGAAGCTTTCATTTCTTCGTCACACACGATCTCCTCCATGTCAACCTCAGCTGAGAAGCCTAACTCGTCGTTTTTCCTTTCGGTCCCACTCGAGGCCTCGCCTAGCGCGTGATGACCTCGAATGGTCTTTTCACTGTATGTCTACTCCATCTCCACTTCCTTTTGCATATTTGTTGAGCGATAGCTTCTCGTTCGTTCGTTCCTACAGTTCCTTGTTGTTTATTCTCATTATTCTGGCCATCTGATCTTCAGTATCGAGCCAGCGTAGGCAGGTGTTGGTGAGTGTCTGTAGTTTGTTGGAAGTGCTTTTAGTAACGCGCCAAGTTTCTGTAAAATTTTCCATATCTCTTGCATAGATGTTGCGTTATTCCTATTACATGTACTTGGTGTTGATTGATTCAATGAACTAAGAGTCAGTAATTTCTCTCTCTACCTAATTAAACAGTCTTCAAGTTTCAGGACAAAATGTACAGATAAACAGAAGGAGTAGTAATGGGGTCACCAAATATCCCCAATCGTATCGTATATGCATTTATGAATAGTTAGGAAAACATGGCTTTAAAAACGTTTCATCCTGCACCAAAAATACGTTGGCGAAATGTGGATGACACATTCACTATATTGAAATCGGAACGTATCGACAATTTCCTCTCACACATATAAACTCGGTAGTAAGCAGAATCCAACTCACGAGGTAGAAAATGAACAATTACAATTACCTATGTTGAATTGCAGGATAAAACGATGGTTTGGATACTTCTGTCTACAGAAAACCGAAACATTCAAACAGGTATCTAGACTTCAAGTCATTTCATCCAATGTCAGTCAGTTAACGCAGGTTTAGGCAAGTGTCTAAATGATGGAGCTAGAAAACTCATCAGTCAGTGCAACGACCTTATCAAGAAACTTAAACACATGAAACAAGCGCTAAAATGGTTAATAATTATTCTTTGCAGTTTAATAAGAAATTCGTACGAACACATAAGAAACGAAATAATAACAGTAACACAAGTAGGAATAATAACAAGAAGATGAGTAGAAAGGAGTTCAAAGCCTCCACTGTGTTACCGTATAGGGAGAGTCCATCAGAAACTTTACATAGGATTCTCAACAAAGCTTGAATTAGGTTGGCATTTAAACCTACAAACTCACTCAGAGATAAGCTTTGTCGGCTGGCTTAAGAATCTGATAGAACCAGTTAAGCAAATTAATCTAATCTATCAAATTCTATGTAATGAATGTTAGGTCAAGTACACAGGTCAAACCAGTCGGGTGGTCGGGGTCAGTTAGAATAGCGGAACACAGGCATTTAGCTAACTACACAATGAAACACCCGAATTAGGTGAGTAATCTAGAAAGTGACTCTGCTATTACAATCTACGTATGCATTAACACACAATCACACAGTAGAGCGTTATCCACAACACCACCTAAATATTAACCTTATTTATTTGTTCAGAAAGAAATTACATCTGTTTCAAGGAGTTATGAGTTGTTCCCGAAATTGTCTAGTGTAAAAACACCTTTAATTTTGATACAATAATCATTATTATTGTCAATCCCTTTCCCACCATGTTTTTGCTTGCCCTTTGTAGTGTTAACCTCGTTACTTTTTTATTTTTAATGCTAACACTACTTAGTATTATTGAGTAGTATTAGGCACTTTGATAGCAATAAACTCAGATATCGCACGACTCGAGATCGGTAATTTATCAGTCACTATTGGTTGTTAATACACGCTGTACCGTAATTCACAAAGATCCTGTATTTTGAATCCGACGCGTAATTCAAGCGTCTGATTTATAGTTGGAAAATCGTTTCGGTTCCGAATTACTATGGCTAACATTAAGACACTCTTGAGGCATCCACATAGTAGCTCATACACCGAAAGAGGTAGAACTATTCGACCCAATAAATACAACGGAAAATTACTAATATATATCAATAAATAGTAACAACTAATACCCACTGTACAAGAAGTGACTATTGTGCCTCCGTAGCATAATGAATAACGCCTTCGTATCTGAAGCGATGGGTAGGAGGTCCGAGTCTCAATGGGGACATTACTCACTAGGGTGAAGGCACATCCAGCTGGCGAGTCACAAATTGGACGAAACGCACGTCTTGGATTCTTCTGCTATCCATAAAGAAGCAAAATTATGATTATTATTATTAAACTATAGCCGTCTGAGATGTAAATGACCATCCACTGAATGTTTAAAACAGACAACAGATTTTTTTTACCTCCATAGCAATTCCATAAGTGAATAATTGATATAACACAGTCATAACTGAACTTATTTTAGCATACTTAAGACTCCCTGTTGTTTACTTTAGTTTGCCGAAGTAATAATTGGTTACCATGATATTCAATTGAGTTGTGTTACAATAGTGTTTGCATATGAGCAGGTGGCAAGTAACAGGATCCAGGGCACCTGTTTCTTCCCAATTCGAACCCATCAATCAAGTGTACCGTGAGCAACAAGGAACTCTGGCTGGCAACGAACCAACCAAGAACCTATCACTCAACAAATATGCAGAAGGTAGTGGAAATGGATTGGGTATACACTAAGAAGGCCGATTGGGGACATCACGCTCCAGGCCCTCGAGTGAAACCCAGATGGGAAGCGACGAGTTGGGCGTCCGAGGGTGACATGGAAGAGATCGTGCGAGGAAGAAATGAGAGCTTGTGAACTGTCGTGGAGCCCAAATCAAAAAAAATACAGAGAACAGAGTGCACTGGAGGCGTGCTACTAAAACTCTATGTTCCATTAGGAACCCAAGGGACAAATAATGATAATAATAATAATAATAATCAAGTGTACCGAGATCCTAATGAAAGTGCTATCACTCGATACAATGAAGGTATGATTCAATTAACAAAATAAGTAATGAAATCAACGCTTTCTAGTGAACCTAAACAATCTATTTTACAAAAGAAAAAGAGTTCGGCAAAGAAATAATACCAAAAATTCACCATACACGTGTTAATGGATGAAGTACAGGATATGAGCGTTGTGTCAACAATTCACTGGCTATACGATGTCGATAACGATCTATTTCAGATCTTGTAGCAATAATTTGTTCAACACGTCGAAGTGCTAGCCTAGAAAATGCATGAGTTAAAGTTTTCTGAAAACAAAAGACAAAGAAGAAGAATTGACCAACAAATTGATAATGATCACATAAAGACTCGAAAAGATTAATCCTACTGACTACACCTTCTAGTAGTATGTTTTAAACAATTTGAGATAATCTTTTTACTATTCAGAAAAATAATAATTTTACATCGGTTCATCAATCATAAAAATAAACAAAATATATAATAAACAGTCCGTGAAAAAAAACTAGATTATTACTTAAGGCCAGTAATTACATAATACAATGTAAAATGTTAGCGGCGATATCTCACTGGTATGCCTACATTATTGAGATATGATAGTAATGTTTAAAAACATTTCTAGGAGAAAGCCGACTGATCGAATCTTCTTCAGTTCTTTAGTTAAACATTTACGATTCTAGAAAGTAAGTTTCGACAAAAATACCTCTTAGAGTAGGTTTCTAGTAATTTATTATTATTATTATTTTCTCTTACGTTCCTAGTGGAACATATGGCTTCAAGTAGCACACAGCCATTGCACTCTGTTCTCTGCAATCTTTTCAACCTGGCTACATCACTGCCCACGAACTTTTATTTCTTCTTCACATGATCATCTCAATGTCACCCTCGGACGCCCAACTCGTCGTTTTCCCTTTCGATTCTACTCGACAGCCTGGCATGGCTCGTGATGTCCGCAATTGGCCTTCTCAGTGTTCGCCTAATCCATCTCCACTTTCTTCTGCATATTTGTTGGGTAAAAGGTTCTTGGTTGGTTCGTTCCCAGAGTTCCTTGTTGCTTATTATTGCTTATTATTCTGGCCATCTGAGCTTCAGTATCGAGCCAGCGTAGACAGCTGTTGATGAATGTCTGTAGTTTGTTGGAAATGCTTTTCATGACGCGTCAAGTATGTCAACCATACAGCAGCACTGACTTGACTGATATGAGTGTTGAAAATACGGATTTTGTGCTGAGTGCAGTAGATCTCCATACTGATTTCAGAGCAGTGAAAGTCTATCTTGTTTTTCCGATCCTGGCTTTGATATCGCCTTTTTCCCCCGTGCCGCCTGTAGTTGAAACGATGCTGCCTAGGTAGGTGGGTAGGTGAAGACTACTTCTTTTAGATTTCTCCAGTTCATGGTGATTGTAGCTTGTTGTTGGTTGGGTATCTTCATCACCTCCGTCTATAATACGTTCGCTTAAAGTACCGTTTTGGCTACCCTGCCTCTTCTGTCAACTTGTTAGTTTTTGCCTGTAGATCTTCGAGTTTGTGAGACATTAAGTCATCGGTGAAATCCAAATATTCGAGGTCCTTTTCATCTGTCAAATGGGGTATGCCCATCTTCTCGCTCCTCACTGTTTGCTGCATGACCCAGTCGACCACAATCAGGAAGATCATGGGGATGATAGTAGGCAGCCTTGTCTTATTCCTGTCTTCACTTCAGAGGCATGACTTATCTTTCCATTGTGGATCACTTGGCATGTGGCGTCATATTGCATATAGCTGTTGAATGAGGTTGATAAAAGTTTGTGGCACTGAAACCGTAGTATTGAAGCAACTGTCAAAGTCGATGAAGTTGAGGTAAAGAGTTGACTGGTATTCGATACTCTGTTCTATGGATATACTTGCCCATGTTATTACTAAGTCTAGAATTCGAATTCAATTCTTTTCTTTCCAAATATGAAAACAAGAGATCAACAAATTGATGATGATAACATAAAGAAAATGTTTGTAAAGTGATAAGAAGATAGTTATTCCACATCAAGATATTAAACCATTCATGTAGACTAGTAATATTCAAGTACGAATTCATCATTATAACGGTTGTGTCAGTCAGTCGAACAACTGCAATGTACGATCTTCCACTAACGTATATCTAATCAAATTGCTACATCCCCACATTGAACAAGAAGGTATCATAGTGAAAAATGACAAAATAAAGACGAAGATGATCTCAAATACTGTAGAATGTTATGAACAGAGAAAAGGAAAGAATATACAATAATAATAATCTTCAATATGAAGATAATATATGAAGGATGCATTTTACTTCACTCGTTAGCCATATAACTAAGAGTCTTCAATTTTCAGGTATCTCTCATATAGATTCCAACACACAGGTCTACATTTCTCAAGAGATTTTGCCCCAACAGTAAGATATTTTATGAAATGTTATCATCATATATTGAATTCTTGACTCCTTAAACAGTCTCTTGTCAACATCTGCTTCAATTAACAACCCACAATGGATTAGAGGTGTTCATTGGCATAAGTAACAACATATGATCTAGGCAGGTGAATCGATATAGAAATACATGTTTATCAACAGACTTGCCTTTTCTCCCTAGAACTCCATAACCAAGTTGCATCATTTCTGGCATCGACTGGTGAGATAACCGACTATCTATCACAGGATGACAATATTGCACTGTAGTCCGTTCTGTTCTACGGCTGAGAGACACAGCAGTTAAACATAGAACACACGAAGCGATTATATAGTTCTGATCATAGGTATCTTCGTAGCATTGATGGCATTTAGTGGGATTCCCGTATGAGCCATATTGAAGTCAAGTAAGTCGATTGACATGTCTTAGACGTGTACTGAGCATACTGAGTAACCATTACTTACCTCTACGTGCGTTGCTAGGAGAAGCTGAATTAGGCTGGAAAAGGGTTCAAGGTGGTTTCTCATTCACTTCATGAAATACCTGACTGTTGGTTTGAGCTATGCGGGGGAGATATGGACTGCCTGATATGTTCACTCTATGACATCTTCTTAATCTTGAATATTTGCACTAACTGTTATCTTCAAGATGTTTTATCTCTCACTCCTTTTCTATCTACCTGTTCTTTGTATAATACTGTAAAGTATGACAACCTGAATCTATATACTTGTATGCAACGTTCAATATTGATTCTGTCTGTCTGTCTCATTGTTACTAGCATCATGGTTCCATCAAACATAATGATTAGTAGTTATATGTTTGAATTAAGGGGCCACACGGTGTATAACCTGCTTATCACCCTCACGTTACCTTCAACGTAACATAATTGATATAATACGACATCTTATAACACAAGTAAACTGTAAACTAACCTCATAATCACTACGATGCACACCAATACTAATTGATCTCGAAGCACGACCGAAACAAATAGATGTAAGTAAGAGATCAATAGCAGCATCTGCTATCCGACATAATACCATCTGTTCATCAATAATCTCCTATTCATACAAAATGAAAATCAATTGAATTAGTCTTATATCTATTAACACAATGAACCGATTAAACTGATAAAGTTAGAAAGTTTCATCTCAGTGATAGCTGTTTTTTTCACAATTGACTGACTAACTACCTAACCTGGGAAACGTAGAGATTGACATAAGTATGATACGTTACATACCAAATAAGTCATTGTCAGTAGTTTCAAGTACTGAATTCTCTGCTGCGAATTTTCTTCTAACCCAATCCCAAGGGGTTGAACGTCGCCAACAGAACTACTCTTCAATTCCACAGCCTTATGTTGTATACTGGTCACTTATACGCTTCTTTTAACTATTCCAGTGATAGGTAAACAGTGAGCGGTGTGAGTATCTCAGAGGATGACATGCATGACTATGATTGAATACACAAGGTCATCGGACATGCTTAACTCGGATAGGTCAGTTTTCATAGACCTACATCGATGTGTTGTGCTTACATCATATATGAGGAGTATCACTGAAGTAATTCGCTATCTCATACAATATTACAACATGACGAGGATCCAGAAAAAATGACCAACTAGTGACATTCAAGTATAGAAAATTCTCGTTTTGAGAAATCTTTTAGCTGAGTGATAATTCAACAAATGTACATAGATAAATCATACAGACCGAGGAGGGGGAATGACAACTACTTATAAGCATGAATATAAGTACTATGTACAACTAAGTCAAAAGTGATAATAATCGATGGATAAAGAATCTGAGGTAAAAATAACACACAATGTGAACTGACATCGTGAACAAACGACTATTTACAGATGAGAACTTTCAATATGTTTACCAAAGTCGGTTGCAATTTTTCGATAAGCAATATCTCCAACTTCATAAAAACTTCTCTTGAAAGGAAAATGGATTGTTAGCAGTTCACAAAAAGAAGACGATGGTTAGAAAAGCATTAAGAATGTGTCTAACACCTACAGAGACTGGAAATCGCTTAAACACCATGAGACCATAACCACACAGATTTGAGGATCCCGCAGTATTCATACTCTACATTAACATTAGTAATAATTAGGAGAAAATCTTAAGATTTTAGGCAGTTTTCGTTTCCGAAGACATTTTGTGTGTTTTCTGAAACATCAGTACAACTAAATGTTGCATACATCTTAAGCCAGATGTTCACCTTAACGTCATAGCTACCAATGGTAGGTAGGCCAGTTTGGTCTCTAGCTGAGCACTTTTTATTTCAGAGACAAAAGTGGTAGATATAACACTGATGGAGTGACATAGCTCACACCACTAGTTAAAGACTTCATGCACTGATATGATGTTTAGGTCTGACCGCCCCTGCCTAACTTTTTCTACCCTTAACCTACTTCAGTTAACATTGAGCGATGAGGCAGACAGTGGTTAGGCATGCGTAACACATTTCCTAGCCATCTCAATCAACTAATTTTCCTCACCTCCCGAAAACTCTACACCTAACTTTTGTCTTGCTCATATAGTGACACCACAATACACGGCTTATGTTACGAAGGCAATAGTGGTCAAACACCTAAATCTTTTTTATAACTTCTACCTTTAATGGTCATGTTTCACATCCATACAGCAGGACAGAGTGAACTGCAGCACAGTAAACTCGACTCTTCATCGATAATCTGATATTGTGGTGAACCCCAATCCAGCCTTTTGTATCCGTGCAGAGATTTCGTAGGGCACTGAGCCACTAGGGTTGATCCAACTTCCAAATTACATGAAGTGGTCTATGCACTCAACCGTTTCTCTCGCTATTGTTAGCCAAGGCATCGTTGAAGATCACTCCTTGAGGGACAACTAACACTTATATAATGAGAAACGCATCCCAAACAATCTCGAATTGCCCCTCTAGGAGTCCAGAAGACTCTGCATCATATCACTATCTTCATCTAACACGAATATATCATCTGAATATTCAAGATATGTCAAGGATTCCCCCAGTAATCACATCAATCTCTGTGGAATCCGACAACGAGACGAAGACCTCCATATTCGCAGGTTCCACACCCAAAAAGATATCATGTACATTATAATATAGAGATTAATTGCTTGATGACATTAAACATCAATTCTAGATTCTTAGATCTTTAATATTGTTACAAAAAATTATTTTCAAATACTTCTTTTAAGAAAACTTACTCGACCATGTTCAATGAGTGTAATTTCACATAAACTTTGAAATCTTTGAGTGTTTATAGCAAGTTCAGTTGACATTTTTCCAAAAGTAGGATGTAGATGATCTTTTAAATCTCTTGAAGCATTACCCTCAGTCACTTTTGGTCCAGAACCAGTTTTAGCTGCAAACCATCCACGTTTTCGTCCTTTACATAACCATCTATGTTTTGTAACAGTTATAGGATGACGTGTATAAACACTTAACTTAGCAACTGTTTCTTGAAAATCTGGTATAACGCTACTAAAACCTTCACCTGCTATTAGTATACGTAGAATATCATTCGATTCCTATAAGAAATCAAAATGAAAATAAGAATAACAAATAAACAACAAAAGATACTTAAAACGTTTCGTTTAGTCTAGAACTCATCAATTGCCCTTGATTAGAGACTAGACACCAATCAGTTCGATTCACGATAACAACAGAAAAATTATTATCCTAAAGATAACCAACTAAATCAACTCATATTTCATGCTTGGAGGCACTCATCAGCAAGAAATATCTTCACCCTTAAATCAACAAATGTCTTGTTTAAGATTCAACCTCACATCACCCATTGTTGCAACCTATGTTGTTACCGTGCTATTCAAAACATGGCTAGCGTCATGTAGGACTGGATGAGGTAGATTGATTGGTTAATGAGACCGAGGGTAGACTATCACCTCCATGGGAATTTTTTTGTATTTTGCTATCCAATATGTTTGGGCGTGTATGTGTGAGATAGCCAGATAGTCAAAATAATAATCGATACGATGTTCCCCCTGTCTTTAATTCAGTTAGATTTTGATTTGAATGTAAAGTCCAGACTGACTAGACAGCCCGTGTGAATATCATCAAGCGGTAGTAATGCATCACAAATTTACACGGTAGTCGTCGGGCGAAACCCTTGCTGGTTGAAGTGAAATAAAAACTTTGAACGACAGTTGACGACGCTACGTGTCGAGTGATTCACAATAGAAAGCTCAGTAATACCATTTGAGGTGGAGTGAAGACAGGAGTAGGACAAAGTTGCCGCCTACTATCATCACCCATGATCTTCCTGATTGTGGTCGACTGGACTCGACTGGATCATGCAACAAACTGTGGAGAGCTATGAGAAGATGGCCATACGCTGCTTGACAGATGAAAAGACCCCAGAAGATGATTTGGATTTTGCCCATGATGATGATGATGATTTATGTCTAATGTCTTTTGCTGCACAAACTCGAAGATGTAAAGGCGGAAACTAACAAGTTAACAGAAGAAGCGAAGCAGTGAAGGCGGGACCTACTTCAGGTGGACGTAGGGAAAACAGAGGTGATGAAGATACCCAACCAACGTCAATATCAACAACAATAATAATAATCACCAATCACCATGAACGGGAGAAATCTAAAGGAAGTTGTCTCTTTCACCTACCTACCTTTCTAGGTAGCATCGTTTCAACTACAGGCGGTACAGGCACACATGGTGATGTTAAAGCCAGGATTGGAAAAGTGAGACGTCTTCATCAATCTGAAATCAGTGTGGAGATCTACTCCACTGCACTGCTATCAGCTTGAAACCTAAACAAGATCCGGATTTTTAACACTCATGTCAGTCAAGTCAGTGCTTCTATGTGATGGTTATTATTCCTATTATTTGTACCTTCGGTTCCTAGTAGAACATAGGGTTTCAGTTGCACGTCGCCCTCTCACTCTCTTCTCTGCAGTCTTTTCAACCTGGCTCCACGACTGCCCATAAACTTCCATTTCTTCCTCACACCATCACCTGCATGTCACCTTCACCTCGGACGCCCAACTCGTCGTTTCCCGTTTGGGTTCCACTCGAGGGCCTGGCCTGGTGCGCGATGTCCACAAATGGTGTTCTCAGTATATATTCAACTCATCTCCACTTTCTTCTGCATATTTGTTGGGCGATAGGTTGTTGATTGGTTCGTTGTCAGACCAGAGTTCCTTGTTGCTTATTCTTTCCAGCCATCTCATGGAATATCGAGTGGGGGAGCGTAAGCGGCAGATGTTGATGATATATGTGTGTAGTTTGTTGGAAAAGCTTTTCGTGACGCGCCGAGTCTGTGAACCATCACATAGAAGCACTGACTTGACTGACATGAGTGTTAAAAATCCGGATCTTGTTTAGGTTTCAAGCTGATAGCAGTGCAGTGGAGTAGATCTCCACACTGATTTCAGATTGATGAAGACGTCTCACTTTTCCAATCCTGGCTTTAACATCACCATGTGTGCCTGTACCGCCTGTAGTTGAAACGATGCTACCTAGAAAGGTAGGTAGGTGAAAGAGACAACTTCCTTTAGATTTCTCCCGTTCATGGTGATTGGTGATTATTATTATTGTTGTTGATATTGACGTTGGTTGGGTATCTTCATCACCTCTGTTTTCCCTACGTCCACCTGAAGTAGGTCCCGCCTTCACTGCTTCGCTTCTTCTGTTAACTTGTTAGTTTCCGCCTTTACATCTTCGAGTTTGTGCAGCAAAAGACATTAGACATAAATCATCATCATCATCATGGGCAAAATCCAAATCATCTTCTGGGGTCTTTTCATCTGTCAAGCAGCGTATGGCCATCTTCTCATAGCTCTCCACAGTTTGTTGCATGATCCAGTCGAGTCCAGTCGACCACAATCAGGAAGATCATGGGTGATGATGGTAGGCGGCAACCTTTTCTTGCTCCTGTCTTCACTCCACCTCAAATGGTATTACTGAGCTTTCCATTGTGAATCATTTCGCATGTAGCATCATATAGCATATAGCTACTGTTGATTGAGGTTGATAACTGTTTGTGACACTAAAACCGCAGTCTTAAAGCAGCTGCCTACCAAATTACTTCTCGGTCGACTCCTCGATCGAAGGCTTTTTTAAAGTCGATGAATTTGAAGTAAGGTAAAGAGTTGGCTGTCATTCAATGCTCTGTTCTATGATGATGCGTAGCGTTGCAATCTGATCCGTACATAATAACAGTTTCTATACAATGTCGCAAACTCTGTGTTGATAACAATCCTATGACCTTTATCAATGGATGGTGGTTAGTTTTTTTTTGAGATGAGCGCATACCAATGTTTGTGATTCTATTCGCTTTTGTTGGCATTTTGATATATGTTCCACTATTCTCAAGTGCATATCTCAATTAGTCCTCTGTATGTATCTATGTCCACACACACATGAACTGATATATGCAGTGGGATGAAATGCAATCGTTTATGCTGCAACATGTGTTTGGTTTCCTCAACTAGGATAAGCTCAGTTCCATAATAAGGTTTGCTGATGGCAGAACTAAGCCTGTGTCTTTAAAATTATGCTATACGGTGGCAGACAACTATTGTCATGCATTGTAAAACATATTATTGATAAAGGTAACAGGATTGATATCATATGCAGTATAGAAACTGTCAGGACCGCATAGTGAAGTTTATCAAGTAATTTTAAGGGCTACTCTAACAACTAATCTACCAATCAATCGTAGCTCTCCATTTCATGAAAAATGACCTTTTCATCGGAAATAAAGGAACCTTATACAAGCTTTACCTATCTCTTTGTAAAAAGGCGTTGACAATGAGATGAGACTTTCAGACATCTGCAATCAAGTGACAGTCTCGAAGATGTTGTCAATTGAAACACGTGATATCAAAGTATATCAGGTCATCCTGGCGTCATGTTAACATCCATATCAAGCAGACTTTAAGTAGTCAAAACACTTTGGAAGTATTGAAAACCTGTTGACTATTGATTATAATATTGACAGAATAAATACCAATCTATGAGAACTCCGGTAACTTACCATACTTGTTAAATGATTTTTAGAATCCCGTAAAAATCTTTCAAATGGAACATCTTTAAGAAGACCAAAACGTCCAGCCAATTGTATACACGTATCAATACCTGAACAAGTTTTTTCAGAACTAAATATCTATAATGTTTTATTAAATAAATAACGAAAAATTAAAAGAACTGATGATATGACAGTATTAAAAAAAAAAATTGGTATTTCATTAGCATCGAAGTAAAATTACCGAGACACCCCCTTCTAAAGAATCAATTCAACTAATCCAATGAACAAGATAAAACTACAAACTAAAACATTAAATTATACATTTTGTTATTCTATTTTAGTCTGTTTATTAGAAATATCACACAGTGAAGGAGGAACAGTATCATTTACTGGATAACATTTCAGACGCAATTTATTGTCCATATTCATATCAGGTAGCTAACTCCACAACTTCGAGAAAGACTTTATATATTCCTAATTCTCTCTCCTTCTATGTGATGACAAGGGTAGTAGAATCTTCCATACACCTCGGACAGGCGAAGAATCATTTCGATTACTGCGCGTATTTGGTGTTGATTCAATAAACAAAGACTCATTCGGTTGTCAATCTCTGCCTCCTCCCACCCAACTAGGTTAGTTTTCAACACTGTCACCCTATCCGGCCCTATTGTGTGATTGTGTATCATTGCGTACACAGCTATTATTATTATTATTATTAGTCCCTTGGGTTCCTAGTGGAACATAGGGCTTCAGTAGCACGCCTCCAGTGACCTCTGTTCTCTGAGATCTTTTGAACCTGGTTCCACGACAGCCCAGAAGCTCTCATTTCCTCCTCGCACGACCTCCTCCATGTCACCCTCGGACGTCCAACTCGTCGCTTCCCATGGGGATTCCACTCGAGGGCCTGACGCGTGATGTCCTCAGTCGGCCTTCTCAGTGCATGGCCAATCCATCTCCACTTCTTCCTGCATATTTGTTGCGTGATAGGTTCTTGGTTGGTTCGTTCCCAGAGTTCCTTGTTGCTTATTTTTTCTGGCCATCTGATCTTCAGCAGCGAGCGTAAGCAGTTGTTGATGAATGTCTGTAGTTTATTGGAAATGCCTTTCGTGACGCGCCAAGTCTCTGAGCCATACAAGAGCACTGACTTGACGTTGGTGTTGAAAATCCGTATCTTGTTCCGCATGCTGAGTGCAGAAGATCTCCACACTGGTTTCAGGCTAATGAACGCCTGTCTTGCTTTTCCGATTCTGACTTTGACGTCCTCGTCCGTCCCGCCTGTAGTTGAAACAGTGCTTCCTAGATAAGTGAAGGAGGTTACTTCCTTCAAGTTTCTCCCGTTGACGGTGATTGGAGTTTGTTGTTGTTGTTGTTGATGGTGGTGGTGCGGTATCTTCATCACTTCTGTCTTCTCTATATTCACCTGAAGTCCCGTCTTAGCTGCCTCTTCTGTCAACTTGTTAGTTTTTGCCTGCAGATCTTCAAGTTTATGTGACATTAGGCATAAGTCATCGGCGAAATCCAAGTCTTCTAGGTTCTTTTCCGTCGTCCAGTGTATCCCCCTCTTCTCGCTGCCTACTGTTTGCTGCATGATCCAGTCCACCACAATAAGGAATATCATGGGGGATAGTAGGCAACCTTGTTTCACTCCTGTCTTCACTTCAAAGGCATCACTGAGCTTCCCATTGTGGATTACTTGGCATGTGGCATCTTCATATAGTTGTTGAATGAGGCGGATAAAGGTTTGCGGTACTCCGTAGTATTGAAGCAGTTTCCAAATTACTTCTCGGTCGACGCTGTCAAAGGCCTTCTCAAAGTCGATGAAGTTGAGGTATAGAGCTGATTGCCATTCTACGCTCTGTTCTATGATGATACGAAGCGTTGCAATTTGGTCAGCACATGATTTGTACTTCCTGAAGCCTGCCTGTTCCGGTCGCAGTTTTGAATCCAGTGCGTCTTTAAGCCTCTCCAGGATGATGCGGCTTAATATTTTACTTGGGGTGGATAGGAGAGTGATTCCGCGCCAGTTCTTGCAAGCACTGAGGTCTCCCTTCTTCGGCAGTTTGACAAGGTAACCCTTCTTCCAATCGTCAGGTACCTTCTCTTCCCTCCACACCTTCTGCAATAGTGGTGTGAGCATGTCCGCTGTTGTCTCTGCATCTGTTCTCAGTGCTTCTGGCGGTATTCCATCTGGTCCTGCTGCTTTCCCGCATTTCAGTAGCTTTATGGCGTTCAGGACTTCCATTTTCGTTGGGGGATTTATGTTCACTTGTAATTCAGCGGCTGCAGGTGGTATTTCTGGACGAAGTGCAGGTGGTGGTCGATTCAAGAGCTTCTTGAAGTGGTCGGCCCATCGTTTCCTCTGTTTCTCTTCTTTTGTAATTAAATTTCCTTCTTCATCTTTTATTGGTTTCATCTGTGTTGGTCTCTTCCCTGATAGCAACCTGGTTATTTGATACAATGTCGTCAGGTCTCTCTTACCTGCAGCCTGTTCTGCTTCACTTGCCAGTGTGTCGTAGAAGTGTCGTTTGTCTTTGCGTGCACTCTTCTTCACTTCTTTATCCAGTGTTTTATACATTGTGCTCAGTTCCTCTTGTCGTTGAGCATCCTTGCACTGGTTTATCTTCTGCTTCACCATCCTCCTCTCCTCTATCAGCTTCCAGGTATCCGTCGAGATCCATTCCTTGTCTTCTTTCTTCTTCCTTCCTAATACTGTTGTGCAGGTTTCTTTCCACATAGCTTTCAAAGACTTCCAGTGTTCTTCCACACAGGTTTCTTCAGGGATGTCCCTCGACGTCTCCCATTTTGTCTTGATGGCTGCTTTGAAGATCTCCTTTGTAGTTTCATCCTTCAGTTTCCGAGTGTTGTACTTGAATTGAGGTCTATCACCAGCTTCCTTGAAGGCTTTTAACTTGATTTGGAAGGTTCCTTGCACTAGATAGTGGTCTGAACCTACATCTGCTCCTCTTCTTGACCTTGTGTTAAGTAGACTGCGTCTCCATTTTCTTGAGATTGAGATAAAGTCGATTTGATTTTTAGTGTGTCCATCTGGTGAAATCCATGTCGCTTTGTGGATATCCTTGTGCCTGAACACACTGCCTCCAATCACCAAATCGTTGAATGCACAGAATTCTGCAAACAATTCTCCATTCTCATTCATTTCACCTAGCGCCTCTCGACCCATGGTTAGTTCTCTTCCCGTGTTGTCCCCTCCCAGTTTGGCATTCATGTCGCCCATTAGAATTTTGATATCGCCAACTGACGTCTTGTCCAGTGTTGATTGAAGTTGTCTGTAGAATTCCTCCTTTTTCTCTTGCTCTGCATTATTTGTAGGTGCATAACATTGTATGATTGTGACCTTTCTTCCTTTTGAGTTGAATCTTGCTGTCATGATCCTGGAGGAGATTGGTTCCCACTGCATGAGAGCCTTCGATGCTCTTGAGGACATCATGATAGCCACTCCCTCAGTGTGCTCGTGGTTGGCGTCTGGGTGACCGGAGTAGATTATTGATTCTCCAGTTGACAGTTTGGAGAGTCCACTCCCATTCCATCTGCTTTCGCAAATCCCAAGCACTTCGATGTTATACCTTCTCATCTCCTTTGCAATCTGGGCTGCCTTACTGGGTTCAAACATCGTGCGGACATTCCATGTCCCCACGTTTACTTTCGCTTTCATCGAGAGAAGACACATCGGCCAATTGGCTTCCCGAAGGCTTTCACCAACTGGCGTCATTTCGCCTCTCCGATTCCAGCGGGGAATAAGTTTGTTTTCATTTTTTATATTTTGTTTGTGCTTTGAAGTTTCTTTAGCGGTTAGATTTGTTTTACGGGGTAGGGTTGCTAGCCCTATGCCCAACCTTCCCTCTTTACCCGGGCTTAGGACCGGCTAGTAACTAGTAAACTAGTTAACCAGGCGAGGTTCGTACACAGCTATAGCCGAGCTTTTCTCTATATTTCTCATGTTATTAGGATCTACTCATCTTGATTCAGTTGAGTTTTTGTACTCTGTTATTCTAATCGAACCTGCCTGGTCGACTACTTTGACCCATGTACTTGACCTTGCAATCATTGCAACGGATTCGGTAAGCCAGATTATCTTGTTTAGTTGCATCAATAGGATCTTTCAACCTACAAAGCTTGTTTCACAGTGAATTTGTTGGTTCAAATACCAGCCACCTTATTCCAAGCCAGACTTATTGAGAATTCTTCGTAATGCTTCCGATGTACCTTCCTTGGATAGCAACGCAGCAGAGGCTTTGAATATTTTCTCAACCACGTCACCATTATTACCATTAGTAGTGGAATTATTATTAATAACACCTGTACTACTACTAAAACCACTACCACTGCTAATATTTTTCTTTCGATTTCTTATGAATTCACTTATAAGTTTTAGTGGGTAATTATTGAGATGCAAAGTATTCTTGATATGTCTAATTTCTTGTCGTAGAGTTTCTGGTCTACTAGTAAGCTTTTCCACCCTATCACTTAGGCATATAACTAAGCCTACTTTAATTGAAATGGGGTGGGAGGATTTGAAGTCTAAGCAGCGATGTAGCATTCCAACCAACAAACTCTCTGTGACACAAGCTTTGTAGGTTAAAAGATCCTATCGATGCAATTAAGCAAAACAATCTGGTTTACCAAATCCCTTTACAATAATTGCCAGGTCAAGTACATGGATCAAAGTAGTCGACCAGGCAGGTTCGATTAGAATAACAGAGTACAAAAACTCAACTGAATCAAGATGGAGTAGATCCTAATAACATGAGAAATATAGAGAAAAGTTCGGCTATAGCTGTGTACGCAATGATACACAATCACACAATAGGGCCGGATAGGGTGGCAGTGTTGAAAACTAACCTAGTTGGGTGGGAGGAGGCAGAGATTGACAACCGAATGAATCTTTGTTTATCGAATCAGCACCGAATACAAGCAGTAATCAAAATGATTCTTCGCCTGTCCGAGGTGTATGGAAGATTCTACTACCCTTGTCATCACATAGAAGGAGAGAGAGTTAGGAATATATAAAGTATGACTCACAGTTGTGGAGTTAGTTACCTGATATGAATATGGACGATAAATTGTGTTTGAAACGTTATCCAGTAAATGATACTGTTCCTTCACTGTGTGATATTTCT